GAGGAGATTTAGTCTACAGACGATGGTGGGACAGAGGGGATGATGGAGATCATGATCGAGAGGGTGGTAGAGATGGTGATGGAGAGGGGGGTCACCCACATTTTTGGTATGATGAGACATTGGAGTCATTGTGGTTGTCTATGGAGGGGTGACCCCGACGGGAGGGGTGGAGGAGGTGGCCCCGGAGGTCAAGAGGACGCTCGGCATGATTGAGGGTAAGAGACATGCTGTTGACGAGACGGAGCAGATGGTCGACAAGAGGTTGAGAGTGCCGTCACAGTATGTTGTTTCCCCTTTCACAACTGAGGCCAAGAGGAGGACATTCATCGATGGGATGTACCCGAACTTATTCAGGGAGGTGGACAATGCCAAGTGAAAAGCGTTCGAGACAGAGTGGCGGAGAAGTATCCCCGGATAAGTATTGTATGATTTTAATAAAGCATTGTACGCTAACTCGTCTACGCTTATTTTAACATTTCCCTGTTTTTTTACAGAGTTAGCTGCACAATAGGTTAAAGGACAGTCTTGGACCCTTACAAGTGGTTCCACGATATCACCACTACGGGAGCTTGGCTCGCCGACGAAGTAAGTGAACTATTTATTTCGTGTATTTTATGTATACGTCATTTTGTGTTTATTAAATGAATAACTCATACTTTTTTGGTGTTTCCTGCTGCAGCACATCGACCTGGCCATGGACTTGTTGCGAGATCGAGCTCAAAGACATCCAAAATCATTTGATGTCCATGGTCGAGTCATATTAAACATCGAGTTCTTGCGTGCCGTTACCATAGAGTATCAGTCGCTCGAACTTATGGGTAACGAGTACACAGTGCCAGAATATATGCTCGAGTGGGTGATAGAACTGTCACCGAGTGTCGAGGGAAAATCATGGGAGGGTTGTACAGATATGTATATTCCAGCGTGCATCAATAAACACTATGTTACACTGGAGATTGTTTTTGCTGACTCGACTATATATGTGCACGACTCAAATCATTCATATTTGACACAAGGCCAGTTGGAGCAAAACCTGGAGTCCGTGGCTGTAATAGTACCTATAATGGCCAGACGAGCGGGAATAAATGTACAGGACTGATTGCGGATTGTTCGGAACATGACGACAGCGCAATAGTCTGTAAGGTAAATGTTTGAATTTTGTTGTTTTTATCTTTCAGATTTAGTTTTTATTTACACAGTACTAAATTGATTCATTCTTGTTCAATTGCAGCGGTGACTGTGGCATATTTGCTATTAAGTACGTTGAATTTTTAAGTATAGAGCATAAGGTTGATGGAATCAACCAGTCGTGGATACAGAACTGGAGAAGAAGTTAGCATGTGATTTGTTCGAATTTAATGCTGACCCGTAAATTTGTATTAAATATATGTAACATTTTAATTGTAAATTTAATTATTTTTTGTGATTATAAAATAATTGTAAATTTGTGTTCAATGTATATAACATTAACATTGGAAATTTAATTATATTTTTTGTTTTCTTATTTTACACGTAGGCCGAGTATGGAACTATTTTTTTCATATGAATCATTATAAATACCATTGATCAAGAATAAATAATGAACATCAAAGATTTATAAAGAACAAATATTGAACAGTGTAAAGTAAAAGGAAATATTATTCATTTAACATACCCGTCTAATCGTCATTTAGGAGAATTTGACTGGTACAAAATTGCGGAGTATGCCCTACGGCTCTGCACCTGCCACACCTACGCGGTTGAGGAAACTCTCCGGTAGATGGTATTCTAGATGTATTTGGATGTCCAGGACCATGCGGTTCAACTGCTGGTGGCAACAAATTATGAAATGGGAGAATGTACTCGGGAACTTCCCACTCCACTTCATTCGGCAGAGGAAATATATGCTCAGCATATGCTGTTCTCCAAGACTCAGTCGTATAATACAAAGAGCATAACGTTCTCGCAGCAAAGCCTTGATACATTGCCACCGCAACTGCATGCTCACATGGAAAACTCTCCAACTGAAATCTCGTACAAGTGCATGTGATAAGTCAAGTCCACCATATATGCCTTATTACGTGCACATTGCACAGAGAAGCGAAACTCATCTAGTGCTTCCACATTCAACTTTCTCGCAACCTCTGTCGCCTTAAACAGTTTCTCCTCTTGAGTTGGGGCCAACACGCTAGTGCAACACTGTGATGCCGCACGTCGGTCATGAAACCACTGTTGTAGCTTATTACGAATGTTCTCAATCATTGTGAGAATTGATAACTCTCAATCATTCTTAAACAATGCATTGAGAGACTCTGCGTTATTCGACGTCATCATGTTGTATCGACGTCCTGGAAAGTATGACCGCGCTCAATGTTCGACCCCCATCTTTGTCAGATACTCCAACGCCGGTAATGATTTACTTCCTATCTCGAGCATGAACTTATTACACTCTTTAGCACTGTAAGCTTCGACTGCTCTCCTGAACAATGAAACGATGCCCGTGTCCCGATACCTAGTCTTCAAATTACCTTGTATATGGTATATGCAATACCTGTGATGTGCCTCAGGAAAAACTTTAGCGATACCGTTTATTATAGACTGTCCCCGATCGGTTACAAAGGCAAGGTCTTCGACTTCCCCGATCACTTCCCTCAGTTTAGAAAAGAATCAACGCATGGACAGATCATTCTCGCCGTCGACTATGCCGAATGCAATCGGGTAAATTTGGATGTTGGCGTCTTGACATGTAGCAATAATTAATTTGCCTTGATATTTAGCTTTCAGAGTTGTATCATCAACTAGAATTACGGGTCGCATTGCATTTCGAAAACCCCGAATACATTGTCCGAGAGCCATGAAGAAATACTTAAAACAATTATCGCCTCCCATCTCAATAAAAAATGTCGTGCCAGGATTAGTTGTCCCCATGTTATGGCAATACCTAGCCAATTTAGCATAGCTCTCTTTAGCCGATCTCATTAAATCCTCCAACGCACATTCTTTGGCCTTCCAGGCTTTCTAATAGCTCATGACCACTCCATACTCTCGACGGAAGTCGTTAATGATGTCCGAAAGTCTGTAGATCGTCCGTGAATCCTGATACTTGTGCATTATCTGTCGACCAATAAACCATGCTCGAGCTTTCCTGTGATTGTTTCGAAGAATTCCCACTTCGCAAGTATGTTCCCGTGAATACTTGTGAATTACGAAACATTCATTTGTAACCATCTTAGTTGCTCTCAAGCGCCAATTGCAACTATCTTCAACGCAGGCAACTGTTAACAATGACTTGTTTGATTTCTTTACCTTGAACTCAAAGTTATTTTTTAATGCCAGCTGGTGCACAGCTTCCTGCAAATCTTTCTTGGTTTCAAACAATTGCTCGACCTGCAAGTCCTCATCATCGGGAGGCACACAAGAAGAATTGGAGGACGGTCCACTTGTTTCAACCTGTGAGCTCCCACCCGACTCGTATCTCTGTCGGAATAAAACAATCAAATTCTCATTTGTAAACTCGTTTATATTCTCATTGTCTTCAACTGTCGACGGAATTCTGCGCGTAACAGCAACATCACGATCAGAAGCACCTGTCTCAAGAATAACCACATCATCCGTAGGAACTATCTCCACTGTCTCCCAAAAACCTCGATCATTGTTATCTGCCCTATCTGAATCTTCGCGTTCACCTTCGATAACATCCTTCGTAATTAAAGTCACACCAAGAATAGTCGGAGTCCGATGCATTTTATTCAATTCTAATAGATAATTCAATTCAGCATCATTAGTAACGAATACCGGGGGCATCGGAATAGATGAATCTCCATAACCGTTGAATAGATATCTCAATTGCATATCGTATTGAGATTAATCGACATTCAGCTTATTTTGCAAATCGTGGTACATTTCTAAATATGGTATACTCTCTGTTATGAGAATTGCAATATAAAAACGTATGTCACTCGTCCATCTCCATTCCCACCGATTATTTTCATTCAATTCGAAATCACCGAAATAACAGACGGGGATTATCATATCTGCATGAGGAAATGGATTTAATCAACTTCATCTGTTAAACAGCCGGCAATAGATTGTTTAACAGTCGGACTATTTGGCTGTTAAAAAGTCGGACTGTTTGGCTGTTAACAGTCAAAACAGTCGACTGTTTGGCTGTTTTTGCGCAGGAATTCTTCTACGGTTCTAAAGAAAAATATTATACATCTGTTCAATTTTTTTTTGATAGGTAAGATTTGTTAAAAAAAATTTATGCTAACTACTATATCGACATAAAATTTCTCTATTCATACGTATACTAATTTACTGAAAACGAAATAAAACATGCGTAAATGTACATATCGATTTGAAGTAATTGATATGAAAAAAAATTTCGGCTTCAACGTTTCAAAATTTTTCTAGATTTTGAGGTTCAAGTAGATGAAAAGATGAGAATTTTTTCTGTATTGGAAGCTCGTTTTGAAGTTTTTATAAGTGGGGAAGTATTTGGTTTTCAATTATTAACTAAAAAAGTAGTAGAGTCCTTTCAACAATAAAATGTTTTGTAATTGTACAAAACATTTAAAGGCATCTTTGTCTTTTACCATACAAGAGGCCAATATCATAATATTCAGGATTTTGAAAGTCAAATTGGAATTTAAGTTCTTTGACTGGGTCAAACTTAAAAGTACCCCAGAAGAATGGAGGCGATAAATGCATAAATTCCAAAAAGTCACGGTCATTTATCCCTAGAAATTTGATAATTGAATGAAAAAACAAATCCAGCCGACAAAATGTAGGTCTCTTGCATAATTTTTCGATTTTTCGATAGGTTTGACAATTGAATGAAAAAACAAATCCAGCCTACAAAATGCAGGTCTCTTGCATAATTTACGGCCACAAGGATAAAAATTATTATTGTTCTATATCTATCAAAGAAGGGGAACACAAACAACCCAAAGCTATTCTAATAAAAACAATTCAACTTTATTTCTAATCTTGACCAATAAAACTATTATTTATCTAAAAACTTTTATTCATTTCACTTGTAAGTAATGATTTTAGCCAATAGTCCAACCTATCTGAGAAAACATAGTAAGAATCTCCATGGCTGCTATGATCATGACGCAGAAACTCGCCCAGTTCCCAGAAATTCTGAAATACCCTCACATTCATTTCGTCGAGAAACCCAAAAACTGGATTCAATTCAACAACAATAATTTCAGTAAATCTGTTCAAGTAATCTCATCATCCCTCGTAACTGATTCAAGTGTTTGTTCACACTCAAAGACCCCAGAAGTGGGCGAAAAGTTTTATGGTAAAGCTCGAAATTTGGTCCAAGAGTTCAGTCCCAAAATCCCAGTAGAAGAAGCGTGGACCCCACCAAGCTCCTGGTACACTGACCCTGATTTCTACTCTCTTGAGCTTGATCAAGTATTCTACAGAGGCTGGCATCCTGTTGGTACACTTCCCATACTTCTTTTTCCTTTGCGATAAAATGAAAAATTAAAGAATTTGAGAAGACTTCTACTCTCGGCTATGTATGTCTACGCGTCTCTGTGTGTTTATATGTGAATGCATATATACTCTCTTGCAAAATTAGAATTTTGTCATTTTTCTTTGTCCCAGAATTTGAGAATTTGAATTTTACCCTTCAAGTATAAAGAGAGAGTAGTTCTTGAAAAATTCATCAACTCAGGTTACATTGAACCCAGCAACTATACGTGCAGAAACCTAGAAATAAAGGGCAAAAGTCTGATGAAGAAGAAGAAGAATTTTTACTGCTTAGAACTTGAACTTTGTGAGTTACATTCAACTATTTATAGACATACCAGCTGGATCAACTAATTGACAAACTAACTTTCTAACTGACTAACTAACAGAGATAACTAATTAACTGAGTTAACTGAATTTTCAACTTTTTCTGCTGGTTTCCGGTTTGCTTCTGCTGTATTGTAAGAGCCCCCCTCAAGAGGGGCATGGATGTTCAAAATGCCCATCTTGGAGATATGGTTGTGAAACATGGCTGAGCCAAGGGGTTTAGTGAAAACATCTGCTAGTTGGTGGTGAGAAGGAACATGGATGATCTTGATTAATCCAGAATGTAATTTTTCACGAACGAGATGGCAATCAATTTGAATGTTTTTAGTCTTTTCATGATGGACAGGGTTTGTAGCAATTGAAAGAGCGGATTTACTATCTGTGTATAAGAGTGCAGGTTGAGGATGAGTGATAGCCAAATCATGTAGAAGATAAAGTATCCATTGGAGTTCACAGGTTGTGGATGCTAAAGCTCTATACTCAGCTTCAGCTGAAGATCTGCTAACAGTGGTTTGCTTCTTGGATTTCCAGGAGACTAAGGATTCTCCAAGAAAAATGGCAATACCAGTAACACTTCGTCTAGTGTCAATGCAGCTGGCCCAATCACTGTCACTGTAAGCTTTGAGGTGTAAATTAGATTTGGCAGGAAAGAATAAGCCTTGACTTGGTGTGGCTTTAATGTATCTAAGAACTCTGTGAGCAGCATTTAGATGAGATAGAGCTGGTTTGGACATGAATTGACTAAGAACTTGTACAGAGTAAGCCAGGTCAGGTCTTGTAATGGTGAGATATATTAATCTACCAATGAGCCTTCTATAGACTGATGGATCAGAGATGAGGTTTGCTTCTTCTGATTTGAGCTTGAGAGTAGATTCCATAGGAAATGCCTCTGGTTTGCAACCAATAAAGCCAGAGTCTTCAAGGATGTCTAAGGCATATTTTCGTTGACAGAGGCTGATTCCATGCTTTGATCTAGCAACCTCCAAACCAAGAATGTATCTTAATTCATCAAGATCTTTGATTGTGAACTGATCATCCAAAAAAATGCTTGAGGACCTGAATTTCATGAAGATTGTTGCTGGCAAGAAGGATATCATCAACATAAACCAAGAGGGCAAGGAAAGAATCAGCGGTAGACTTCAGGAATAAAGACGAATCAGACTTTGACCGGAGAAAACCATATGAGATAAGGCTAGAAGTAAGCTTAGCAAACCATTGACGAGATGCTTGTTTGAGGCCATATAGGCTTTTATTTAGTTTGCAGACAAGTGAGAGATCAGGACTGGGATAACCTTTAGGCAGTTCCATGTAGACTTCCTCATGTAACTCACCATGAAGGAAAGCATTGTTAACATCTAATTGGTGCAAAAACCAATTGTTCACTGCTGCAATAGCCAATAGAACCCGAACAGAGGTCAATTTTGCAACAGGGGAGAAGGTGTCAAAAAAATCCAGACCTTCTTGTTGAGTATATCCTTTAGCAACTAACCGTGCCTTGTATCTTTCCACAGTACCATCTGCTTTGAATTTTACTTTGTAAACACATTTGCAACCAATGGTGTATTTATCAGGTGGCAAATGAGTGAGGGTCCAAGTATTATTCTTTTCAAGAGCTTGAATCTCACAATTCATGGCAACTTGCCAGTGTGGAAATCTGATAGCTTGGCTATAATACTTCGGTTCAAAATCATTTGAAATGGATGTAACAAATGCCTTGTGCTTCAGGGAAAGTCTATTAGTAGGGATAAAATGAGAAAGAGAGAAAGGTTTACCTGAAGTAGATGGACTAGCCAGCATTCTGGAAGACAGGATTGCATTGAAAGAAGAAGGTAGATCACAATGATAGTCATTCAGATAGGTGGGTATATGCTTCGTTCCGCTAGATTTTCTAGGAGGAGGTTCAAGAGCAGGTCAATCATTATTTGGTGAAGAAATAGGGAAAACATGATCAGGCACTGGATCAATATTGACTTGGGTCTGGCTACTGCTAGTTTCTGTTGATTGGTTTGTTGCTGGTGTATGAGGATAGGAATAATCAAAGTATGGTTCAGGTATAGGAAATATGTGAGGATTAGCAGGTGAGTGGGGTGAGGAGTTTTTATAAGGAAAGGAAGATTCATGAAAGATGACATTTCTACTAACAAAGGTTCTGTGATTTTGTAAATCATATACCTTGTATCCTTTGTATCCAAGAGGATAACTAAGGAATATGCACGAGGAGAGAACTTAGTTCTGTGATTATTGAGTGTACTGGTGAAGCATAAGCAACCAAATGTTTTGAGGTGATCATAGTCTGGTGGCTTTTGGAAGAGCAGCTCATAAGGGGTTTTGTTGTCAAGAATTGGAGATGTTATCCGGTTAATGATGTGAACTGCTGTGAGTATGCAGTCACTCCAGAAGATGAGAGGAACATTTGACTGAAAAAGAAGGGCCCTAGCTACTTGCAGGATGTATTGGTGCTTTCTCTCTACAATTCCATTTTGTTGTGGTGATTCAACACAACTTTTCTGATGAAGGATTCCATGAGAGTTATAGAATTCTGGCATGAAGAACTCAGCACCATTGTCAGTTCTAAAGATCTTTATTTTGGTATTAAACTATGTAATGACCATTTGATAGAAGTTCTTTATGTGGCTACGAGTTTCAGACTTGGATTGCATCATGAAAACCCATGTGCATCTAGAATAATCGTCAACTATAGTAAGGAAAAATTTGTAACCATTAAAAGAAGGCACATGGAAGGACCCCAAATATCACAATGCACTAAATCAAAGATTTTATTTGATACTGAATTACTAATCGGAAAGGGTAACTTTTTTTGCCTTGCTAAGGGACACATTTCGCATTTATGTAAATTGTTACAAGGAATATGAGAAGAAATGCATGGGATCTTGGACATTCTGGTGTTGGATATGTGTCCAAGTCTACAATGCCAAAGATTGTAATTGAATTGAGCCAAGACATGTGCTGTAGGGCTGTTGGTAACGGGTAGAGGTTTAGTTTTGTCTTGAGCTATCATGCAGTGATATAGACCATCTTTTTCTTTAGCAAAACCAGTCATCTTTATGCTGGCCAGATCTTGTATAAGACAATGGGAGGCAGAAAAAATTACATGGATATTGGAAAATTTAGTTAGTTTCGAGTCTGATATCAAATTGAATGAGAAAGATGGCACACACAAGACATTTTCAAGAAGAAGACCATTAGAGATTTTTACCTTTCCAATATGGCTGACTGGGACATAAGAACCATTTGGTAAGTGAACTTTTGTGGTTGTAGCTGAGTCAATAGAGGTAAAGAATGTAGGTGAACATACCATAAGGTCTGTTGCACTTGTGTCAATTATCCAGGTAATGGTTTTTGTTTTAGAATAAGTTGAATTACAGGAAGAAATACCTGTGGTGATGGTGGCTGCTGTTTGAGGTGCTTTGTCAGTTGATTGAGGGGATATTTGTTGAGTCTTAGCAAATGCCAAGAATTGTTGAAAGAGATCTTGATTGAAAGAAATGCTTGGTCCCTGTAGATTGGTCCAGGCTTACAGCATGAGCAGCAGAGGTATCAACCAAGGATCTTGGACCTCTCGGTCCCTTCCAGCCGGGAGGATATCCTATGAGTTGAAAGCATTTATCAGCAGTGTGATTGGGGTATCCACAATGGGTACATTTTGGCTTCTTCTTGTCCTTCCAAGAGGGAGGTTTATTGAGTGTTCTATGAGGTTGTCTTGCTGTCATAGCAGCTGATTCTGGGGGTGAGTAATTCTGTAGGTCCCTTTGACTCTCTTCTTGAAGCATAAGGGCATGAACTCGAGCCAATGATGGAATTGGAGAAGTAAGCAGCAGTTGGCTTCTTAGTGCAGAATAGGATTCATTAAATCAAAAAAGAAACTTCATGACAGCATCTGATTGCTGAGTGTTTAATTTATTCTTCAATATATCACAAGTGCAATTGGAGAGCATCCCAGAATTGCATTTAGGCAGAGGTCTATAGCTGATATATTCTTCCCAAATAGCTTTGAATGAGTTGTAGTACATAGTAAGACTTTGTGATCCTTGAGAAATGGAACTTAGGCATTTCTCCAGATGGTATACTCTAGGTCCATCACTTCGAATGTACCTGATTTTGAGTTCATTCCATACTTCATATGCAGAGGAAATGTATAACAGACTTTGGCGAATATCTTTGCTGATTGAATTCAATGGCCAAGATAAAACCAGATCATTTGCTCGAACCCAACAATTATATGTAACACCAGATGATGGACTTGGGGATTTCAGGGATCCATCAATGAAGCCTAATTTATTTTTCACACTCAACACCATGGAAATTGAGCGGCTCCAAGAGGTGTAATTGTCTCCATTGAATATTTCAGAAACAATCAATGCACCAGGATTGTCACTAGGATGTAGATAATAATGACTGGTTGGATCATCAGCAGGATTGAAGAGAGAATTGATTGAGCTTGACATGCTTCAAGCGAATTGTTGATGAATAAAGGGAAGAATTTGTGATAGCTCTGATACCATGAAAAATTCATCAACTCAGGTTACATTGAACACAGCAACTATACGTGCAGAAACCCAGAAATAAAGGGCAAAAGTCTGATGAAGAAGAAGAAGAATTTTTACTTCTTAGATATTGAACTTTGTGAGTTACATTCAACTATTTATAGACATACCAGCTGGATCAACTAATTGACAAACTAACTTTCTGACTGACTAACTAACAGAGCTAACTAATTAACTGAGTTAACTGAATTTTCAACTTCTGCTGCTTCTGCTGTATGGTAAGAGTTCTTTCCAAATAGTCTGTGCTGTAACAGTATTTATGCCAAAACAAGATTCGGTTTCAGGAGTATGTGGTTTTGACAGTTTTGTATAGTACCTACTGTTTCACAGTTTATGTGGAAAAATCTGCTACAGACCGTGTTTATGTGATCTCAACCAATCCCAACGCGATTACTTATAAGCAAAACAATCACAACAATAGTGGAGCATCACTCTGCTTATCATCCTTTAGGATCACAAAGACCTGTTGAGCTTTGCAAATTTGAAGCCAGATTACGAAATTAAGGCTGACATGATTTTTTTTTTTTTTCGTTGTCTCTGATACTTACCATTTTTCATTTAATTGTATATGTCAGGATACACTGAACAGATTGAAGAGCCCCAGCAAATTTTTACTGGCAGGTAACTGTAGTAAGACTTTTAGAGTGTTTTTTATGTTTGTAGTAATTTTTCCAATTCTTACTCTTCCATGTAATTCACATAAGAAATGCATGTGACAATTGGAGAGAAAAGAGGAGAAATAGAGGTAAATGAATGGGCGTGTTGCTTGTAAAAATAACAACGAGGAAGGTGTGTGAATGAGCCTTTTTTGTCTTATTTTTGATGTAGCTAACTAGTTACTGCAGCAGATTGGGGAATATCGAATATGTGGTGTGTCGGGATGAAACTGGCACATTACGTGCATTTCACAATGTGTGTCGCCATCATGCATCTCTTCTTGCCTCTGGAACTGGGAATAAATCTTGCTTTGTCTGCCCTTATCACGTGAGTTGTTAATTGTTAAAGCTGATTTACAGGATTATGCATGTATTAAGCTCACACTTCATATGGAATTCAATTTTGTTAGATGCATTTTATTTTCTCTGTGTGATCAGTTACTCGTCATACTCTTTAAGGTCTTCATCTCTCTTTCATATCTCATAGCTTCTATCTCGTAACATGTACGAATTACAGATAGCAACTTAAAGATTACCATGTTGGCAGAACTTAGTGAACTGCAAAACAGAAATTCATAAGAGGTTTGAGTTTAACACCATAAATAATGATCCGCTGCATGTCAATTTAATTCTTGGAACATGATTAGAAGTCTAAATGATAATGACATCCATTTCCGATTGTAATTCTTATATTATGACTGGAAAAAATACTTTCGTAAATATAAATTATGCATGTTAAAAGAAATAATGTGTCAGTGGGGAAACCTTCACTTTTTTCGCATTCTTTCATATGCTAATAATAGCCCATGTCATATTGAGCATATACTGCTCTAAATTCGCCCAAAAAAATGCATTTAATCAAATGATTTCTTGCCATATCTAGAAGCATTGAAAATCCGGTGAAGCTTTAACTGGTGGTATATATCATTGCTCGTTATTAGTGGTGTGTGACTTACTTAAATTTCTTCCAAAGTATACACTGTTATTCTTCATCAATGTCAGCAGTCAGATCAAAGTTCACGTTGTAGATATCTATAAGATACTGAAACTTTTTAAAAAGTTCAAATCCTAATCGACGAATATAAACTTTTTTTTGTTTTTTCGCCCTTATAGGGATGGACTTATGGGTTGGATGGAGCACTTTTGAAAGCTACAAGAATAACTGGAATCAAGAACTTCAAAGTGAATGTATGCAACAACCTCGTCTATTTCATTGCTTTTCATATTTTGCAGTTTTCATATAGATTGGTAATTTTAGCTTTTTGATGTGATCATATGAAAGGCAGGAAATGGGACTTATTCCCATTAGAGTTGCCATTTGGGGGCCATTTGTATTACTTAATTTTGAAGGAGGTTTGCCTAAGGAAGATTTTGATACCAATGTCATGGGAAATGAATGGCTGGGTACTTCAGCAGAACTACTGAGTGCAAGTGGTGTTGATACTTCACTGGATTATGTTTGTCGACGTGAATATACAATTGAATGTAACTGGAAGGTTTGACTTTCCTCATATTCTTTGTTAAACTAGTTCATATCCTAGTTCATCTTATCCGTACTGTTTCTTTTTCAAAATAAGATGGGGCTCCTTTAATTTTCATTCAATAAATCTTGTTATCAATTTTAACTGGTAAATAGATAGTTTTCAGTACTTTTATATCCAATGGTGCAAAATTGAAATATATGATCTTGGATCAATCAGGGTTGATACGATTTTCTTCTGCAGGTATTCTGCGACAACTACTTAGATGGAGGTTATCATGTGCCATATGCACATAAAGGTCTTGCATCTGGTCTCAATCTAGAGTCATATTCTATCAAGGTGTGCCTGCTTATTAAACTAACTTTTCCAGCATTCTGAATACTTTTTCTTCATTTTTGCTTGGAAATGTATTTACATTATTTTGTAGTGCTACCAGAAGTCATAGCTTATTGGCATGTTTGGTAAGAAGGACTGGGTAGCATTGGAAAATATTAAGGAAGAGAAATAATGTCTGGTGTCTTCTAGCTGCATACCGTACACTAAATGTTTATGCATCCATGCTTCCACATATATGATTCAAATTGTGTTTTCAAATGTTTACTGCTAAACTTTCTTTATATAATTTATACCCTGGTTCATATATTTAACTCTGTTGTTGAAATTGTGAAGATGTATGAGAAAGTTAGCATCCAAAGTTGTGATGGCAGTGCCGTGAATAGTGAAGAAGAATATGATCGACTTGGCTCAAATGCTGTATATGCTTTTGTCTATCCAAACTTTATGATTAATAGGTCAGTGATCAGTACTTAAATGTATCAATTATTTGTTTGTGTGTTGTCTTATTCGACGTATTGTTTTATAGCACCCTTATTTTCTCTTGTTTTTCTCTGTACCTTAGGTATGGACCATGGATGGATACCAACCTCGTTGTCCCATTGGGACCACGGAAATGCCAAGTGATATTCGATTATTTTCTCGATCCTTCTCTTAGTGTAAGTTCCTTTCCTCGTAGATTTCATGATGCCCAGATCAAAATGATCAAGAAATATAAATATCCAAGTATTGGAATACGCCAAAATCATACCTAGAACTTTTATAGCACGACAAAATGATCCTTTCATCTCCTGGTTGGATGTATTGATTACAAAATACGCGAATTATGGAAATCGGAAAGATGTGTCATGGTGTTTATTTTTAACTACTCTCCAGGTTTTTGGATGATCTTGGCATTGATCGTTCATGCTAACATGGAATAAATAAGCAAAACCAATTTTGTCCCCCTTTTCATTGTCCAGTTTCTCTTTAAAAAGAACTGTTGATGTACACTCCACCATGGAAGCAGTCATCTTCCTTTTACCCCATTCATTTATTATCATTTGCCTAACATGAGTCAGATTGTAAAATTGTTACAACGATGCACTATAAGCACTGCTGAAAATTTCAAGAAAATCCCAAATGGGCAAAAATGTGGGGTCGTGAAAATTTAATATTCCTTCTATTGACGTTATCCTTTCCTGTTGTGTTTTATTCATATACCTGTGACTAATGACTATGCAAAGTATAATTTGTGAAAGTATCAATCGTATGACAAATATTTGGCTTTGCTCTCTGGGTGAATTCACAAATACTGTTCTTTGATAAATCGTTTATTCTCAGGATAACAATGATTTTATTGAAAAGAGTTTGAAGGACAGTGAGAAAGTGCAGGTCAGACGCCTTTTTGTCGACAATCAGTGATTGCATATTTCGTGCTTAATATGTTTACGAAATCTATATGCAGATGGAAGACATAATTTTAAGTGAAGCTGTTCAACGGGGCCTTGAGTCTCCGGCATACAACATTGGCCGATACAGTCCTAACGCTGAGATGGCTATGCATCATTTTCATTGTCTGCTCTATGAAAATCTCTGCAGCTGATTTTCATAGTGAAGAAAGGGCATATTGAGAAAACACTGCGCTGTTGTAAGATAACTAAACACGGTCAAGGGAGAAGGGAGAAGAAGTGGCGGAAATCAGTCCACTCTGGCTCGTCTTTTCTTCGTCCTCGCTACTATTTATGATCCAAATGAAGCCTTTACTTGTGGATTAAACTTTTCAAATGATTCGTTCACTTGTGTGGCAAACATGCCCATTGATTTTATTATGTGCAATTGAAGAGCTCTTAATTTTACCATTATTATTTTTCATAGAGCTTAAGCATAAGGCGCACAGAATACTGAATACACCATCCAAAATGGTTGTAAATGCATGCTGAAGTCTGCAAATGTTAGCGAATATTAGCCTTCTGAATGGCTGGTGACAATAAAATCACACCAATGATTATTGACAAAACAGCACAAAAAGCATTCAATATACACAAATCAATTGATTCCGGTGGGCTTGGGCATGGTTCGGAGTGGGTTGGTTTTGAGTCTGTTTGAAACCAAGTTTTGGATAAAATCCAACCCAAAATGACCAAGTCGGTTTGGACATTGGTCCGAGTTAAAAAAAATTAGCCATCTATTTTGTGTTAAAAAATTTGTTGGCCTATTTATATATTTTATTTGTTTATTTTGCTTGTGTAGTGCATATTAATAATATAAGGATAATGTTATACGTACTGAATTTTTTTATCAACTCACAATAGAGGCAAAGACCAAATGTCGACATTTTTAAATTAACGTAGAGCCCGCTATACATTGTGAGAGGAGAGACCATTCGGTAACTCCTCTATGTACATATGAATTATTCCATAATATAAATGGTAAATTGTTGATTTCCTCAAAATTATCCTATATATCCGATAGTTGCCAAAAAACAATTATAAAATGAAAAGCAAGACTACAATCTGAATTTGGAGTTTAAAAAATCAATTTTTCTCATCCATTTTTCTTTTGGAATTTATAATTATGATTTTTCTCATCCATAATAATAAAAATTATGATTTTATTATTATCTTTTCAAGTTTAAAAATTATGATTTTTAAAATTAAAAAAATAAAAATAAATAAATAAATTTGTTCGGTTAATTGATGGGTTGATTCCTTAAACCGCAACCAAATCAACCCAATTTTTTCATGGTTAAAATTAACTAAACCAAACCGATTTCTTGGTTCAAACCAACCCGACTCAATTTGATTTGATCGGTTTTTCTATTTTTTTGCCCACATAAATTACAGAATGCAAAAATCTATTTAATAGTACTTGTATAAAAAGAATTTCTTGATATATAAGCCCCGTTTGGTAGTCTTTTTTTCAAAATGCATTTTTTTCTCTTTTCTTTTTAACTACACATTCTTCATTAAAATAATATTACACGTAAATCAAAAAACTTTTTTTTTATTTCTCAACCACACATTTCACATCAATTTACTATTCTAAAATACATTTTTACATAAAAATGCCAATCAAACACCCCAATAGTTGATAAAGAACACATTACAACTTCACTGTATGAACAAAAGCAACTTTGTATTTTCACCACTGAAATGTCCAAGTTAGTTTGATGGAAGACTAAATACTTAAAAACCTCAAAGTTAGATTTGAGCTACACCGATCTGCACCCCACCTACGGAAAAAGATGAGCCCAGAAGCTGTCTCTGTCCACTTCCTTTGTATTTAACCTGGATAACAAAAGAAGATCAATTCAACTCATAGAGATGAAGAAGCTCATATTCCCCTCATATTCAACTGGCAAAAGGTTTCTTTACCTCCTGATTCCCTTACTTTACATATTTTCTTCGTAAAAAATCAAATAAAGGTCTCTCTGGAACAGGAATTAGCTTCCCAACAATGGCTAGAGGCCAGCTGATCAAGAAAAAAAGAAGGCGAAATTCATGCCAGATCTGAGAATAATATGAGGATACCCACAGTGATGCAGTTATAGGCCCAACAACACATTTTCAGGATTAATGCAACCACCATGACTTAATGTGAAGAAATAGTATCTCTAATATCTCTTAGTAAATAAGTATTAACAAATATGATAGACTATCAATCAACTAAAATAAGACGTAAAGTTGAGAAATACCAGCCATAAGTTGTAAGCCAAAATGCCAGGTAATGAGAAACAAACCTGATTATACCGATGACAATGGAAACAAGCCACAAGTCCCAACTGAGTCTAACAGTTGAAGTAAACTTCCCATAAAAAAATATAATGATAACCTGAACAGATAAGTAGATTTATAAATTGCAAGAAAATTAGGGCATCTTGTACAAGAAAGAGCGAGATACGAGAAATAACCTGGAGAACTACTGTAAGTCCAACTGTTCCCATGAAAAGAAGGTTTTTAGTAACCCCTTTCCACACATTGATCTCATCAGGTTTTCTAGCATTCAACTCATTGAATATCTGTACTTATGAACAAAAGAAATTAGTTGAAGTGCATGGAAAACAGCAGTTAAAAAATTGGCAAATTAAGTGCATGTTTGGTATTGATTTTTCACCAAAACAAAATTAATTTTTTTAACGTTATTTCACTGTTCTAACCGTCATTTCTGACTTCTTATCTCACAGGTAGGACTCACTTTTTTTTCTAAAGATCAAAAAATCAATTCTCAAAATCACTGCCTTACAAACTTTAAAGATAAAAGTTCAGAGCAGCTTCAGCAAAATGATTTCAACTAGATTAATATTTAAACTTCAAAACAGAACAGAGAGGAGTCATCACAAATTTTGTATATTCGATCCCATCACAGACATCCCACAGATTCATGTTCTTCGATATTTTGTTGATAATATCAGCATAACAGACATGTTGTGAGACAGAGAATCGTCAACCCTTCACTTGCCGGTGAAGTATAACAAAATCAAATGATCATTACTGTAAAAGCACTGCGACATATTAGAACATAGAGAGAGAGACAAAAGCATTGCAGATATCTACACTTTGCTCTATGTAGCAAAAAATTAACACTTTTCCCAATGCACTTACCTGACAAAGGAAAAATGCATTGAATATCACTGTATTCTTCACTTTGAAAGCTCGATCATCTGATTCATGCTCTAAATTCAGAATGCTTCTTCCCTGGAAATTCAGGATTAGGAGAACAGTCACTTGATATAGAGCCTGCAATAACTCAACTGCCAACAATTAGAATGTGGATATTTAATGAAGCATTTTAGTTTCCATCCAAAAATAAAAAACTGAATAATATAGTTAACACAAAAGTTTGATACCTGAATTATCAAGTTCCTCCACATGACATTAGTAATGAGAGGTTCCCTAAAATATAGACATTAACGTTTGTTCAGCAAATAATTTCAATATCAGAAAGTGCGCAACAGAGTTTAATGATACGGACAAAAAATAAAAGGCCATCTCTACACCATGGTGCTTTCTGGTAACTTAAAACACTCTTTAAGGTGGAGCCTAGTACAAGGGAATGGGGAAGTAAGAGTGACGCAGTCAGAAAACAAGAAAAGCCACAACCACGACAATCAAGCAATAAGCAAGATGAAATTTCAAACAGAACACTTTTTCTGTTATTTATTAAATCAAACGTTCCACCCTACATCTAAATGAAAAGAACGTGAAATAATAAAACCCAACTAAAAGTCCTGACTGGATGAGGAAAGCAAATCCAACATTTTTATTTGAATAAGGAAACATAACAACTAAGAGATTGGACAGAATAAGTAAAATACTTATAGCAGAATAAGGAAATAAACTAAAGCAGTAGACATTGCGCTTGTCTTGGCCTAGAGGCATCAAGAGACGCTATGATGTAGGACAGTCCTATTGTAAATAGGATAAGAATTAGATAATTATAATAAGAGTAATAGGTTCATCTTCTTATTCTTATTTCTTGTTTAGAATATGAATTCTAACTTCTCTTGGATTAAGATTTATCTTAATTCCCTTATATTAGTTTTCAAGTATTAGTAGAAGTAGGAAATAATTTTGCCTTTATAGAGGCAATGTACACTTTTCAACAATAATAAATTATTATTCAATATATACATCACACGATTGTTCAAAAATCATTTTTTTTATTATATAATTCTTATTACAAGAATTTCACAACGCTTCCGCACCAAAATTGGTATCAAAGAAAGGGAATTGCCTTAATTTGACGGCTGCCAATGGTCCTAGAGGTAGTCGAACTATAGGCGACGAATGGAGGCTTGACAAACTTGAACAACAAAACGAGTGGATCGACAAAATCCTTCACATCACACAAATGCTTATTGTGTTGAGTCTTGAAAGGAATCGTGAGCTCTTGGAGAAGCAAGCTGACAAGAATTTGTAGACTTTAACTGCTATTGATGTTAGTTGTTTCAATAAGCATAGAACACGGCAACGTGTGACTAGAGAATTTCCTTGAGTCCCAGCCAAGTTCGAAAACACACAAATTATCAAGGATTCTTCTCTTCAACAAAACTCGAGGACTAGTTTTTTCAAGTGGGAGAGATTGATGTAGGATAATCCTATTGTAAATGGGATAAAAGTTTGATAATTAGAATAAGACGTCTAGTTGTAATAGGTTTATCCTTTTATTCTTATTTCTTATTTAGAATAGGATTTCTAATTTCTTTAAGATTGGGATTTATTTTAGTTTCCTTATATTAGTTTTCAAGTATTAGTAGTAGTAGGGAATAATTTTGTCTATATTTATAGAGGCATTGTACACTTTTCAACAACAATCACTTATTATTCAATGTATACATGACATGATTGTTCAAATATCATTTTTATTTATTATATAATTCTTATTACAAGAATTTCATAACACTTCTGCACCATGCTCTTAGCTCCCTTCTACACCTGGTGCATCCTCATCTAGCCTAGAATTATCTGAATCAAAGAGTATCAGCATTCCTGGTTTCATTTGAGATACCATAGTTGATATAATAGATTCCTGAAAGAACACATTTCCATGTGAACCCCCATTTTCGAAATATGGATTTTCTCATCATCTGTATCCAACTGAACTTTAAAAAATGTAGGGCATGGCTCATAACTTCTCTATAACAAAGAACAACAACATGAGATTGAAAGGGACAGCTCGCATCACCTCCCATCTTTCTTGTATTCTTTAATAACCAATTCAAGCAGCAAAGTGATTACCAATAACCACTATCAACGAAGCTAATAAATTTATCCCCCCTCACTCCCTCATTGTCTCTCTTTTCATCTCTCTTGGCACTAAAAACCCTAGTCCAGCATTGACGCACGGCCAAAATTTCAACCAACACAAACGACCACCAGGAATGCCTTCATCTCTTTTAGATTTTTTATTTTGAGAATATAAACACACGTTCATAGAATGGGCAAGAAAAAAAATTGGTATCTGTATTTTTATGAATGTTTTCCTTGGCTTAATCAAAGATTATAATAAGAGAAATTCACAAGTTGACAAGGCAAGACTAAATGAATTTACAAATTTCAAGTAACAAAGTCAATTATCTGTTTTCCTCCAATTGTTTTTAGCTATTTTAATGCCAATATTCTTACAGTATGAATTACAACACATATCATGAATTTACAGAATTTGAAGTTACAAATTCAATTCATCGTTTTTTTTTTATGTTTCGTAGTTATTTCAATGCCAATTTCCTTGCAATTTTTGTGGGTCTTGAAATCTTTCTGCATGGGCTTCTGCCGATTAAGATAATTGAATGACACAACTGTGATAGGGTTCGAGAAGAATTGCAGAGCATGGAATGATGTGATTGCAAAATATAGTGCCCTCTATGTCAACTATGTTTTCAAGCTATCATAATATGAACAAGTAGCACAGTTCGTTACATCAGCACTGAAATTCCAGTGCATTCTGTGATAATTTTTTCTCCTTTGGTTCAGGGGAGGAGGGAAAAAAATGCAGTTCATCACTCAACTAACTGAAGCCATATTTTTGCCTTTGTCACATATAAAACAATCTTCAGACCAAAAGTGACTCATATATGAAAAGTCTAACCTTCTACCCACAGGAGGCCTATGCATCAGATGATCAGTAGGAGGTTCAGTTGCCAGTGCTAGGGCCCCTAGTGTATCCATTATAAGATTTACCCAGAGAAGCTGCTCAGAAGACAAAATAGTTATAAAGTGCCTATAAAGAAAAACAGGAGACAGACAAATACTTGTACTCAAAACATGGGAAGAAAGAGAGATCACAAACCTGCACTGCATTTAATGGGACATTACCAGCAGAAACTGCAGCCACAACATTGATTGTAAGAGCTACAACATTAACAGTGAGCTTATATGGTATAAATTTCTGAATATTGGCATAAACAGATCTACCCCACCGCACCACCTACACAATTAACATAAAAATATAATCAGCAATCTCAAGTTTAGTAATTACATTTTCAATTTGTAGACACTTCCACAAGACAGTAAAAAAGGAAAGCCATGCAACTATGCCACAAAAAATAATTGATTTACAACGAGAGCAGTCTGAACTACTGCTTTAATAATTTGATTTGGAGATACGTTCACTAGACAGTCCCAACGAAAATCTACGGCTCCAAAGGAAGTTCTGATAGAAATTTGAATTATGCCCAAATAACAGAAGAAACCTATAAAACACCATAACAAGCCAAAAAATCATTTAAAAATACTCTCATGAAGTTCTGTTATAACTCTAGCTCAAAAGATTACATGATATGATCAAAGAATCTTAAAATGATGCAAATCCAAAAAACCATAGCTGGTTAAGTTACAAAAATATAAGCCTTGTTCAGGTTGAAACATTAAATTTTGACATTATTTTATGCAAAATTATGAAGGATAGGCTAGTAGGGTGGAAGCGCACGAATCTTTCGAAGGGAGGCCGTATTACTCTCATCAAGTTCACTTTGTCGAATCTCCCTACTTATTTTTTGTCATTGTTCCCAATTCCTACAGCAGTGGCAAAAAGATTGGAGAGGATTCAGAGGGAGTTTCTCTGGGGAGGCAGAGGGGGGAGCGGAAACTACATTTGGTTAACTGGGGTGCAGTTTGTTCTCCCATAAGGACAGGGGTCTCGGATTGAGGAGCCCCATATTGTTTAATAAGGCCTTGTTGGGTAAGGGGTCGTAGCGATTCGGAGCAGAGAGAGAGAGAGTTTTTGGAGAGAACTTATAGAGGCAAAATATGGTGTTACGGAGGGAGGATGGTGCTCAGTCGAGGTTCATGGATCTTACGGGGTGAGTTTGTGGAGGTACATCAAACGACGGTGGAGCGATTTCCAGGATAGATTGACTTTTGTGATTGGAAATGGTAATACTACTAAATTTTGGGATGATTGTTGATGTGGAGAGGAACCGCTTAGGGTGAGTTTTCCTCTTTACATAGTATCGCTCTGGTGCCGTCTACTAAAGTGAGTGGGGCCTTAAATAAACACAACGAAAATCTCAGTTGGAACATTATTTTTGGGCGGGGATTGCAAGATTGGGAAGCGGATGATTATGCATGAGGTGCACATTAGGGTAAGAGAGGGATTAAAACAGTTGGAGGTTTTCACGTGATGGTGTCTTCCCAGTCACGACTTATTTTAGATCCTTATTGGGACATGTGGAGAGTTCATTGCCCTAGAAGATGTATAAAAATGTAAGATGCCTCCAAGGGTGGCATTTTATTATGGACGATTGTCAGAGAACAGATGTTAACGGTGGACAATCTCCGAACAAGTGGTTTTTATGTTACAGAATGATGCTATTGTGTAAAAAGGATGCAGAGACAATTGATCACTTGTTCTTTCATTGTGATGCTACTGGTTTGCTGTGGAACAATGTTCTGGCATCTCAACACATGAAATGGGTGTTTTCGCAACGTGTGGAAGATGTGTTAAAGGTTTGGAGGAGAAAGTTTCGCAATATGGATAACAAGCTTATATGGGACATGATTTCGGGTTGCATCGTATTGTCTGCGTGGAGAGAGAGGAATTGTCACTGCTTTGATGATCAAATACAAACAACGGAGCAGATTAGAGAATTGTTTTATTTGACATTGTATAGTTGGTTTAAACTCCTAGGCATATAGACGGGTTGCCCAATTTCATGTTGCTTCTTTTAGATTTAAATTGATAATATACTTCCTGTATTACCTATTGATTAATCAAATACTTGATTACTTCTTTAAAATATATATATATATATATATATATATATATATATAAATATACGAAATGAATAACCCCCTAATTTTCATGTTGAACATGCATTGTGCAATTCCTAAATCCAAAATATCAAATAGCATCGAGGTGACGGTTCTGGTAATACCGACTATCATATATTCTCCTAATAGCATGCTTTTCATTTGTTTTGAAGCATCGACGTGACGGTTCTAGTAATATGCACTATCATATATTCTCCTATTTTGAAGCAACATTCATAAGATGGGAAAACTAGTTTTATGCAATTCTAAGAGTCAAACTAATACATTTATTATACAATACATTAGCATGCTTACAACACAGACTCACCTTCGCAACTGTAGCAAAATTATCATCCAATATAATGATGTCTGAGCTCTCTTTGGCAACTTCTGTTCCTTGGATACCCATTGCAAGACCAATATCAGCCTACACCGCAATAAAATTACGAATGAGATTAAATGAACTGGGGAAAAAAACAACGCAAAACAACAATTCTTTGGAACACCTCATTATATTACACACTATTAAATGTTCATTAATGGCATTCATGAATCCACAGGATTTAAAAATCATAGTGTAAACACCTGTTCCAAGCCCAATCCAGCACCAAAATGATGATCTCAACTATCATAGTCAACTCATGAAATCCCACAAATGGGAACTAGATAAAATTTCATTTACATACCACCAAATAAGCTGATTCAAATTCTGACTATCGAAACCTAAAATTGGCCTTTGCATGCTCCAATATTTTGCGTGTAAGTAAAAGAACAGGTACACAGATTTTTAGCAATTAGTGAAAGAGCAAACCTCATGTAGTGCAGGAGCATCGTTAACACCATCTCCAGTAACAGCAACAACATGACCCTTCTTCCTCAATGCTTGTACAAGCAAGAGTTTGTCATCTGGAGATGACCTACCCATCACCTGTATGTGAAATGGAAATACGAAATGTCATCCATGCCACTCGAATTAATAGAACATGGACAACAACAAAAACATTTGGGCTGCCAAGTTAACTGAAATACCGAAATTCTATCGGCCACTTCCAGCCTCTGCGTCTCAGACATGGCACGGAATGCCTTGCCTTCAATAAGATTTGGCTCAGTAGCATCTCCATTTGATCCTAATATCCCACACTCTACAGCTATTGCTTTCGCCGTTTGAAGATTGTCTCCAGTAACCATACGTACCTATAAAATTGTTAAAACAAATATCAACATAATTGCAAGTGTTGACAAGCTAAGTGGCAACATCAGCATAAAAACACGGTACAAAGACCATGAATTCCATTAAAACAGACAGAGTACCCCATCAACAGTCCAGCAGCACTAAACTTTCCTAGTTAATTGTCATTAAGATCGTAGCTCCTAAGGTATCATCTTGTAGTTCCAAGATTGGTTTCTGTCCTACAGAGTAAGACTGGCCTTGGTTCCATGCATGCATTAGCTTGTCCCAACCAAAACTCATCCCTTTCATTAATCAATGCCCTCCTGTCCCATAATGATAGGGAATTCGGCAACCCTTTCGTCGAGCTGGAGGGTCCGTACCCATTAAACAAGAATAAGGTTTTTCATAATATAATTTTTTTTATTTCACATTAGAAATATATCATGGTCTCTTCCCATCTTGGGACCACTAGTCAAGTTTCTAAACGCATCACCTACTTCAGTTGGCTTGGAAATTTAAAACCATATAAAGACGGAACTATTAAAAACACACTAAAATGAACACTCGAGTACAAGCACAAGGAGCAGAAAAAATATGCAACAATTGGGGAAAATTTTATATTCACAAATTTCAAGATCCCACAATAGCATTTCCTAACTAACGAAAAGAAAGGGGAAAAGACAAGATATTAGGGATGACAAAAAAACTAATTCAACCCGAAGCCGGGACGGGGGTCATTGCCTTGAAACGGGTACGGGAAACGTGGTCGTCACCCGCTTAAATTTTAAATTTAAATTTTTTATCAAATAAATATAAAAGATTTATCATCATTTTTAAAGAAAACAAGAGTTGTTCTTAACAAAGTAGAAAAAATAATATTTACTAAAGACATAAAAATAAAAAATAAAAGCCAAAACTAAAAAATAAATGGGACAATAAATTCCCGTTCTGCCCTGATCCCGCCCTGTCCCACTTTAACCGGGAGTGGGGACAGGGCAAGGTGACAAAATTACCCAACGAAACAGGGGTGGGAATGACCGAACCATCCCGTACCTGCCCGTTGTCATCCCCACATGATATTTTAATATCAGAAGATTATAAAGAAGACGAAACCATTGATCCATCAGAAAAAGATGTTGAATTCCAGAACTAGTTTATCTTTTCTTATCACTTAGATTGAATTTTTCCTTTTTGAGTTTCCTATTTTGAATAAAGAGATTAGGGAGGTTGTTTCCTAATATCTCTCTAGTTTATTTTTCTATTATTCTCCCTTGATTTGAGGGATTTGTTTTTTGCTAGAATTAAAGAAGATGGGCAGCAGATTTGTTGCTACTTGCTCCTATAATTGTACCTCCTTTTTGATTATGGTAATGAAAACATCGTGTATACACTTTTCACATTGCTGTTGAAAGAGACGGATATACCTTAACACCAGCATCAATGCACAACTGAACCGCATTTCTGACACCTGGTCGACAAGGGTCCTATATCACAGATGAATGCTCTCTTAGTGCTGAAATACACAGATGGCAAAGTGTGTAGATGTATTTTTGTGCAAATGTATTTTACATATGGCCAGCATCTATGCATACATCAATGGAAAAGCATTTATACACAGAAAGTAATTTGGCATTTAAGGGGGGATGCAGAAAAGATTACTGATGGTAAAGATAAAAGAAAACTTTCCAAGATAGGATGTACAACACGAGATCAGGTGACCTAGGAAGTGGTAATAAGAAAAGGAGTGAAAAGCCAAATATAAAGCAGAAATCAGGCCCCAAATGCAGGCAGAAATCATATCAAACAAAACCAACCATCCAAAGTGGCGTCAGGCGTGGGAAGTACTGGATGGCTGGAAGATTGTAGTTATAGTCAAAGTCAGGCAACCAGCACTATTGGACGTGCCGATAGTCAGATAAGGTCTCTCGACTAGAGAGTGCTTTTTCATATTCAAGATACCACAAATACCAGGACTTTGATATGGTCTTGATAATATATAGATAGCCTCTGATCATAAAAGGAATGAGATGAATATTCTGTCTAGAGACATGGGAAATTAGATTTTATCTGATTATATCTACGTAACGTCAAAATTTGAAACGGAAAAACAGTAAGGGTGCATTTGATTTGCGTTTCCGTTTTCTGTTTTCAGTTTTGAATTCATTTTTAGTTTTCTGCTTTGAGTGACTATTTTCGAATTACAGAAAATGTCTTTGATTTGTTATTTTAAAAAACGATTTCTCAAAACAGAAAACCAGAAAATGCTTTTGGTTTAAAATTTTTAAAAATTATTTTATGACATTTATTCAATTAATTTGATTATTTAGTAAAACATGATAATTTTATGCCAATATATTACCAGATAATATATATTTTAAACTTGGTGAATTTACTATTTTTTCTTGCTACAAAAATAAAGTAATAAATAATAAATTTTTAGAAATTGTTTTATGATATTTATTCAATTAATTTGATTATTTAGTAAAACATAATAATTTTATGTTAATATATTACTAGATAATATATATTTTAAACTTAGTGAATTTACTATTTTTTCTTGCAACAAAAATAAAAAATTTATAGACCAGAAATAGGAATTGTTGTAAAGAAAATAACTAATATGTCATTCATCCTTATGGATGTATTTTGCTGTCACATAAATAGTAAAAAAGGAAATAATAGTTCTTTCAAATTTTGATCAATGAAAAAAAAATAAATGAAAATTGAAAAATGTTGTAGACAGTTAAAAAGGAAATAATAGTTTTTCCAAATTTTGATCAATTAAAAAAAAAAATGGAAATTAAAAAATATTGTAGGTTTTAAAATTTTTATGCTTTACTAAATTGTATCAGATTACAACATTTTATTTTAAAAGTACCGCTCAGCATACGTTGGGTTAAAAAAAAAAAAAAAAAAAAGAATAGGGTGTGCTTTGAGCGTTTTTGCATTTTGAGTTTTTTTTAATTAAACACACTCAAAACAGAAAAAAATCATTTTGAGTTTTCTGTTATAGATTTTTCCTTGTTTTCGGAAACGACAAACCAAACAAGTTTTGGGCATTTTCGAAAATTAAAAACAGTAAACGGCTTGAAAACGGCAAACCAAATACACTCTAAATCACTTCATCACCTAGTGAAATGAATTTAAGATGACATTTATTGATACTGCATTTAATGAAATATCTCACGCCTTCCAAGATTAGGGATGTCATCGTTCGAAGAGACAGTTAACCGAGAGTTTCAAGAAAAGTTAAAACCATAATTGGAGGCTGATACTATTCAAAAATACCTTGATACCGACAATGGCAAGTAAAATAAGGTCTTCTTCTGGTAATTGCCAATTCTCCATTTCCACCTCATTAGAAGGGACCATTTCCTTCTCATATGACCTGTAGGCAATAGCAACACAGCGTAGACTCCCCGCAGCCATATCTTCAATTGCTTTCTTGAAATATGATACCTACAAGACCAGAATAAATGCAATCACAATTAATATCAAGTCCAATATTTTTGAACAATATAAATACTTCTACACGTATTTGGAGAAATCTATCCTTATCATTTAGCCCATGTTTGAGGCCCATTCTTTATAAATTCTCATTTCTCCCCAAAATCATTTTCAACCACGCATTAGATTAAATAAGATTAGATTTGATATTTTCATACAATTCTATCTAGTTTAATAGAAGTTTGTTTAATTTTAGTTTCATTTCAGTTTCTTGCTCTATAAATAGAGAGCTTCTTAACTGTAATTCACAACCCTTAATTACATGGATAAATTGAATCTTCTCTTGCCCTCAATAAATCTCTTCTTTGCACCCCTTTTTATTCAGAATCTTCAATTGTTCGTGTCAAATACTCATGCGTCATTTTCCCAACCTTTTAACCAAACGTTCTCCCAAAAAAATCACTATCACATAATCTATTCCAAAAAATGAGGGCTTAAACATACCCTTAAGACGAAACACATTTCTTCCTAATTTTTTCCTTATCTCATCAAAACCAGCTAAGATCTTCATCCTTAACAAATTAGAACAAGACAAATATATTTTCCAAGTATTTAAAACCCCAATATTATTAATGCAGAACTTTCCACTGAAGGGAATAGAGAGAGTAAACAACTAGTTAACTAAGAAAAGAAACTTTCCAAAAACCTTATCTTCTTCCATCTGCGCCATGGAGCCATTTGAATCCATGTAATAGGTACAAGATGCAAGGACTATTTCTGCAGCCCCTTTCCAGTGTACATGAAACTCAGAATCCGACTACAAAACAGAACTAAAGATAAATACAACATGCGACCCACCAAAATTGTACTATCACTATCTGCTGTTGATATCTTGCTACAAAGAATGAACAAATCTAAGTTTAATCACTTAATCATTATATTTGTTTTCATACAACTTTCCTTTTGCATCCTTCCCCTCCTATTTCCCATGAAAAGCTATATATATTAGTATGAAATGTAGTAGGGAGCGAAAAAGTGCAACTACATCATAACATTTATGCCATGTTTAAGCCCCATTCTTCAAAAAAATACATTCTTAAACAGTAATTTGACATCATTTCAACCCTGTATTCTTCAATAAAATAATATTACACGCAAATTAAAAATTATTTCTCATTTTTTAACCACACATTCTCCATCAATCTACTATTCCAAAATACATTCTTTCAAAATAATATAGCTCAAACACACTTAATTGATTTATTCAGTTACCAGTTTTAGAGCGACACCACCTCTCTTTTTCTCTGAGTTGAACGGAAAAGCATGGATTATTAGTGACTTTGATCGAACAGCATCGAAATCCATCCCAAGCTACAAGAGACATAACAACTCAAGTAAACGAAGTAGCATAAGAGAATCAAAGAATGTACTAACACGCAAACAAACTAGCTATTTTACATTAACACCCCACTGAAGAATGGCCTTTTCTGTTGGTGATCCCGAAATCTCCAGAACATTACTACCCTGTTAAAGACCAGCCACAACAATTTTCAATTGTTTCAGCATTATAATGGTCTAAAACTAATCAGATATTAAAATTACTTTGTGTCAAGATGCTTGAATTCTCAATGCAACTAGAATGCTTGACAAGATTCTTAGACTGCATATGCAGCCAATATTCAGATCTTCCTTTCCATTTTCCAACAATTACTAAATACGAGAAGTAACATTTCATACAATACCAGCATAAATTCAATCAGCTGTGTAGATCTGTGATATCTACACATGATCTAATATCAACACCTTTGATGGTGCTAATTCAGTACAGACAGTTCATGCCTAAATCAAATAAAAGCAAGTATAAAATGGAAGACAGCACTGCAGCACTTCCGACTATAGCTCCAGTCTCTTCTTAAGACAAGAAACAAACAACAATTTGTGGCCAACTTCCCCCTTTACAACACAAGAATACAATTAAGATTGATAACCTACTCATTGTCCATAGATTCTAAAAATCATGCAATCATAGCCACCATGATATGAAGAATTTCAGAGTACACTGAGTTAGAAATTAACATGCGATGAACAGTTCTCCATTCATAAGTCAAAATGCTTCTCAAAGCTTAGAAATATTATCCAGCACTTCCCACTGAGGTAATAATCCCCTCGTAAAATGTAGACATCAATATTACAGTGATTTTATGGTGTCAGGTGCAATAGTACTACGTGAGCATAACTTAGGGGATTATATTGATAGTCAGATATAGTGGTAAGCCAAAGGTCAAGGAAATTGCTGTTACCATTCAGCAGTAAAATGATGTGGAACCATGCCCAAGATATCATGCTGGTGCATAGTTTTACTAGCCCAGGATCCCACGGCAGTATAACTAGTGACCACTCAAGGGGTGGAATAGAAACCACACTATCAAAGACTACCAAATGTGATGCACCATTCCGATGCTGAAGCATGTGTAGGCATCAACATTGCTGTACGCTAAGAGGCAACAGGGAGGAAATACACAGTTTTTTCAGTGAAGGCAACAAAAAGCTGGTGATGATAAATGCAGGATCAGGGGGTGCTGATACAATGTTTCTTTACTTGAGAAACAAAGGCCTGATCCATCTTTTAATGATTACATGTCTCCTAGTAAGAGACAAACATCCCAAACCATTGGGCACCAAACCAACTTACTCGTGAAGTGCACAAGTTAACACAAGAGTCTCCGAACAAGCACACGTGCACACTGATAGGCCACTAATTAAGCACACGTATTCTAGAAGATCCAAGAATAAAGGATGGGGCCAGCACTAAATTCTGTTAGAAAATCAGTATTGTAACCAAATTCTGTTATAAGGCACTTATAAATACAAAACGAGAGAAGAGAGGCAGGATATATATGAAGTGAGAAAAAGTCAGTAGTAGGAGAGAATATCAGCCCTCTCTAAAGGCTGTAGTCATTTCTATTTTCTGCAATTCAGCATTCCATCAATATAAATTTTACTTAATTTTTCTGTCTTCCTTTTATAGTCCTGACTGGATCTTATCAAAGTGATATCAGAGCATCCCAATCACCGTCATAACCATGACTCTTGCAGACAGAATGGGGGAATTAGAACAAAAGGTAGAGAACAATCATCAGGAGCTACAATCTGGCATCGAAGTCCTGAGGTCAGAGTTCAGATCGATAAATTCCAAGTTCGATCTATTGCTAAGAACTTGGAAAAGCCAGGAAAGAGAGCGAAAGGAGAAGGGCCCAGCGGTTGAACATTCGCCCTTAACACATTCGGAAACCGGGTTAACACACTCAAAGCCTGGAGAGAGCCAGTAGAGTACAGGATCACCTAGTGATTGGAGGCCGGAACCGTGTATTAGATGACCGGAGATGCCAATTTTTGAAGGGACCGAGCCGGATGGATGGGTGTTTCGGGTGGAGCGGTATTTTTACCTTAACAAATTAACTGAGGAAGAAAAGGTGGAGGCCGTCGCAGTGTGCTTCGATGGGGAAGCACTCTCTTGGTTCAATTGGGAAGAGAAACGAAGACCTATGAAAAATTGGGAGGAGGTGAAGGTTCGTCTACTGAGGCGGTTTCGAACCTCAAAAGAAGGGTCACTTTGCGCCCAATTCTTGTCCCTGAAGCAAAACTCCACCGTGAGAGAGTATCACCGAAGGTTTGAGACCTTGGCATCGCCATTAACGGGAGTCTCAGAGGAGATTTTGGAATGCAGTTTCCTCAACGGGTTAAAACCCGAAATCCGGGCCGAAGTCCAATTGCTTCGACCATTGGGCTTGGATTAAATCATAGAAGAGGCCCAAATGGTGGAAGACCACAACCTAATTACCCTTCATAGCCCCGGCCCAACTAAGCCCAAGAGTATCCCATACCACAGCCCAAATCCCCCTCAACCCAGTTAGACCAAAAACAGAAAGACCATCCCCTTCAATCTATACCCAACACAACGCCCTAACTATTCTTCTAGAAATCCGACCACCTTCAAAAGATTGACCGATGCAGAAATTCAAGCCAAAAGGGAGAAGGGCTTGTGATATAAATGTGATGACAAGTTTACCATTGGCCACAAATGCAAGAACAAAGAGTTGCAGGTGTTGGTTATCAGGGAGATGGAGGAGTGCGATGCGGAGGAGAAAGTGTAGCAGCCCGGCGAACTGAGCTGCGACACCGACGGGGTGGTGGGCGATGGCGAAGGAGGCCAAGGGTTGGGGCAACCGGTGGAGCTCTCTATTAATTCGGTAGTAGGGCTCACCGCACCGGGGACCATGAAACTGACAGCCGAGATTGGCCGGAAGGAGGTGGTTGTGTTGATTGATAGCGGAGCCTCTCATAACTTCATTTCAACGGAGTTAGTCCAACAGTTGGGGATTTCCTTATCAGGCACCACTAGTTATAGGGTGATAATGGGGACCGGACTAACTGTAAAGGGGGAGGGAATTTGGAGACAAGTGTTTTGAAGCTGCCTGGGCTAGAAGTGGTTGAAGATTTTTTGCCTCTAGAGCTGGGCAGCTCTGATGTCATACTTGGAATGTAGTGGCTATGGAAATTAGGAAGAATGCAGGTTGACTGGAATCGCTTGACAATGTCCTTCACCCTGGTAGGAATAACAGTCCACCTGCAAGGTGATCCGAGCCTCAATCGAACCCTAGTGTCGCTTAAGACTGTGGAAGACCTTCAAAGAGCAGGGGGAGGAATTGCTTCTGGAATTGAACTCCGTCACAGTCTCTTCCACCTTCTCTGATCAGCGTCCATTAATGATCCTGGAAGAATTCAAGGGGGTCTTCGAGGATAGACCGCAGCTGCCACCGAAGAGAGGGCAGGACATGCGGTGACATTAAAACCCAGAGCAGGACCTGTTAGTGTATGACCATACAGATATCCCCACTTCCAGAAGAATGAAATCGAGCGCCTCGTTAAGGAAATGTTGGCGGCAGGCATAATCCAGCATAGCTCCAGCCCGTATGCTAGTCCTGTGCTTTTGGTAAAAAAGAAAGATGGCGGTTGGAGGTTTTGCGTTGATTACTGAGCTCTTAACAAAGCAACCGTTCCAGATAAGTTTTCGATATCGGTCATTGATGAATTATTGGATGAGCTGCATGGGGCAAGGATATTCTCAAAAATCGACCTTAAGTCAGGGTACCATCAAATTCAGGTTAGTGCAGAAGATGTACCCAAAACGGCTTTCCGAACCCAAGAAGGACATTATGAGTTCCTTGTCATGCCTTTCGGCTTGACTAATGCACCGGCTACCTTTCAGTCCCTTATGAATGAAATCTTCAAAAACTTGCTTTGGAAGTGTGTATTGGTGTTCTTTGATGATATATTGGTGTACAGTCGAACAAAACTTGATCACAAGAACCATTTGCGCATGGTGTTACAAATCTTGGCAGACAACCAGTTATTTGCTAATAAGAAGTGTTCTTTTGGTCAAAGGAAGATTGAGTATCTTGGGCACATCATTTCAGAACTAGGAGTATTAGCTGACCAGTCTAAGGTGGCAGCAATGACCAACTGGCCTCGACCCAAGAACCCTAAGGAGCTGCATGGGTTCCTGGGATTAACGGGCTACTAGCTGCATTTTGTAGAGGGCTATGGGAAGCTGACTTGGCCTCTCACTCAACAATTAAAGAAAGATAACTTCGGATGGAACGACAAAGCTGAGGAGGCATTCATTGCACTTAAGAAGGCTATGACGACAGGCCTGTGTTAGCTCTGCCCAATTTTTCTCAGCCATTTATTATTGAAATGGATGCTTTTGGAATTGGATTGGGCATTGTATTGATGCAAAGCCGACGACCCATCGCATATTTCAGTCACATTCTTCCTCCAAGAGCTCAAATAAAATCGATTTATGAAAGAGAGCTAATGGCTATTGTTCTAGCAGTGCAAAAGTGGAGGCACCATCTACTGGGAAGGCGATTTATAGTAATGACGGATCAGAAGAGCCTCAAATTCCTCCTTGAGCAAAGAGTCATAAATGCAGTGTATCAGAAGTGGGTAACTAAGTTACTGGGGTATGACTTGGACATTGAGTACAAACCGGGGCTGGAAAATAAAGCTGCAGACGCATTAAACAGGAAGGGGGGTACAGTCACCCTTATGGCCCTTAGCATCCCAAGTATTTTGCAGGTTGATGAGGTGATTAAGGCCGAAACAGAAGATCAGGTTTTAGGCCGCATCCAGGCTGCTGTCAAGGATAATCCATCTTCGTGTCCTGGTTATACCCTTGTGCAAGGAGTCTTATTATACAAGACCAAGATCACCCTACCCAGGGACTCTTCATTGGTATTGCTGGCTTTACAGGAAGGGCACGATAGCAAAGTAGGTGGACATGGGGGATTCCTTAAAACTTATAAAAGAATAGCAAGCACGTTTCACTGGATTGGAATGAAGAAAGATATCAGAAATTATGTAGCTGCTTGTGAGGTTTGTCAACAGTTCAAATACTCCACTCTCACTCCCACCGGTCTATTGCAGCCACTTCCGATTCCGGAGCAGGTATGGGAAGATATTTCAATGGATTTCATAGAGGGGTTGCCCAAGTCAGAAGGGTTTGATTCTATCCTGGTGGTAGTGGACCGCCTTAGTAAATATGCTCATTTCATCGGCCTCAGGCACCCTTTCACTGCACCCTAAGTTGCATCGGTTTTTATCAAAGAGATAATTCGATTACATGGAATGCCTCGCTCAATTGTATTTGATCGGGATAAGGTCTTCTTAAGCAAGTTCTGGAGCGAAATGTTTCGTCTACAGGGAACGAAGTTGAAGTACAGTTCAGCATATCACCCTCAAACCGATGGACAAACCGAGGTGGTTAATAGGGGATTTGAGACTTATTTACGTTGCTTTACCACCTTCCGACCGAAAGGGTGGCATCAATATTTATCATGGGCAGAACTTTCATATAATACTTCCTTCCATGTCTCCGCACAACGTACACCCTTTCGCATCTTATACAGGAGGGAACCGCCCTCTTTATTACCATTTGAGAAGGGCACCACAGTAGTATCTTCCCTTGACCAGCAGTTGGTGGATCATGACAAGGTTTTGGAAGATCTCAACGTGCTCAATAGCACATGGTGGCCTCAGCTAACAAACACCGACGAGCTGTGGAATTTTCAGCAGGTGACTTGGTATATTTAAAAATGAGACCATATCGACGCAAATCCCTGGCCCATCGAGTCAATGAAAAGTTGGCCCCTCGCTACTATGGACCATTCAAGATTCTGGCCAAGATTGGAAAGGTTTCTTACAAATTGAAACTGCCACTCGGGACTTTAATTCACCCCGTCTTTCATGTGTCACAACTAAGAAAAGCTGTGGGAGAGCATCATCTGTCAACTCAACTCCTAATTATACTGGGGGCTGATTGGGAGTTATTGTTGGAACCAGAGGAAGTACTGGGAATTCGTGCTGCCTTATCCAGGAATGATGATGACAAGAAAGTGTTGATCAAATAGAAGGGACTGTCTCCATTGGAAGCCACTTAGGAACCATATCACTTGATCAACATACAGTTTCCTGTTTTCCACCTTGAGGACAGGGTGGCTGAATTGGGGAGGGTGATTGATAGGCCACTAATTAAGCACACGTATTCTAGAAGATCCAAGAATAAAGGATGAGGCCAGCACTAAATTCTGTTAGAAAATCAGTATTGTAACCAAATTCTGTTATAAAGCACTTATAAATACAAAACGAGAGAAGAGAGGCAGGATATATATGAAGTGAGAAAAAGTCAGTAGTAGGAGAGAATATCAGCCCTCTCGAAAGGCTGTGGTCATTTCTATTTTCTGTAATTCAGCATTCCATCCATGTAAATTTTACTTAATTTTTCTGTCTTCCTTTTATAGTCCTGACTGGATCTTATCACACACATTCATCAACACATCAATTGGAGACAACAAATATTACACTATAAATATTACATGCCGTCACAAACTAATAAGCCGATAAAAATCATCAAAACATAAGCAATACACTACCCTAAGCATCACTATCGATCATTCAATTAATATATTAAGTAAAATAAAGAAGAAATCATGGACTAAATGGTTGATGCTTAGCAATAACCCACCTCAGGGACACATATGCTGCCACTTGTATTCTGTGAAATGCCTTCAAGAAGCAGAGACATAACATTAGGAGGAAGTAGTGACTTATTGTCAGCGGGTTCAATCTTCTTCCCACAAGCAAACACATCAACCACAGTCATCTGCAGAAAGTTGGGAAAAAATCATACAAAAAGAATCGAACTCCCAGATCTCTACCAACTATGTCAATGGCTGAAGCAATCAACACTCCTCCCTGCACTCGCCTCCCAAAGAGAAAAATTCCCAAGGTAAGCGGAAGCAAAATAAAAAACCACAAACCTGATTCAAAGTTAGGGTCCCAGTTTTATCGCTGCAAATAGTTGTTGCAGAGCCCATGGTTTCACAGGCTGATAGCCTCCTGACCTGCAGTTCAATTGTCAATCATGAGACATCGGAAAATATGGAAGTATATCGTAAGACCAAGAAAATGACTGTCGCTTCAAATAAGATAAGCAACATACCAAGACCTTGTCCGCCATCATTTTTTCCATTGAATAGGCAAGCCTACAAAGAGATTATAAAATTCAGTAAAATAAAAAATGTTCAATGCAAATGAAGAACACGTGTATACCTGCATCCAAGCCTGAAGGTGCAATAAATGCAAATGAGGTATCATAACCATTAGAAGGAACTATTTTTTTACAAAGGAGTATCAGACATCCACAAACTTCTTCTAGACTTTAAAACAGAAAAACAACGAGCACAGGATTCAAGAGAAGATGGAAATGAACAAACGAACTTACGTCACAGTGACAGCCAATGGAAGCCCTTCAGGTACTGCAACAACTACAATGGTCACCTACAGTTTTGCCGAAATAAGTTAAGAGGTCAAAAATAAATATTAATGTAAACAACATCAGTTGATTATCTAAATGAGCACATACTGCAACAGTGAATATCTTTATAAAGCCATCCATAGCATCCCTAACGCTAGTGTACCCTGCTCGGAACTGGGTTCGACCATCTGGATCGCAGGTTTTCCCAGTAAAATATCTGCTCAATCACAAAGTCAAGTTTATTCCCGACACTTCTACAGTACAAAAAATGAGATCACATATTGAACCATTTACTATATCTAAGCTACCTGATCAAAAGGAAAACCAGAACCACTTCAGCCACGACAAGCCCAACAATACCAATAAATGTTGCAACCCCATTTAATCGTACCTAAACTTAATAAAACAAGAGAATGTTAATATTGTTCACATCTACTCTTAGCACCCAGTGTAAGTTCAGGAATTCCAATGAAGATAACCTGCAATGGTGTTTCTTCACCATTATCCTCTGATATGCTGGCCATCAGCAATCCCCATTCTGTATTCATCCCAACGCTTGTTACCTGTTAAAGAATAACATTCCAAAAAACTGTAACCTACCACGATAAATTCTATAAAAAGAGCTATGGTCACTCATGGAGTACAAACATTTTCATGAAAATGACACGTGTTGAAAAGAAAAAAAAAACTCTTTCGACTTAATGTACTTCACAAGTAGCCATAGCACACTTGTACTAATAATGATAATGATAATAAGGTACAAGTTTTTACTCCTAAACCTATAAGCACATTATCGGACATAAAGTAACATAACCTAAAAGAAGGTCAGCATTATAAATAATATCTCAGTGCTCTTAAGCTCTGGCAAACAAGATATTATGAAGGCATATAATAAATGAACTAAACATCGCATCAGAACACATGATTTAGTTGTGTCTACTACGTACAAGGGTTGTCAAAACACCAAGGTAACATACAAATGAATGACACTTCTTTTTAATACAGTTATTTAATCTCTTTCGCCTTACATTAACACTGAAAGAAGCAGACCAGAAGCCCCTTATATTTTTTATAGTTAAACTTTTTAACTTTGAGTTATCCTTCCCAATTTGAACAGTTTAGGTCATTTCATCTTTCTCTATCAACCCTTAAACTCTTATTATGCTCTCATTTTTCTACTTTTCAGAGTCACCAAGTAAAAGCATATTATAAAGGAGGCTCAAACTTCAAGCCATAAGGGCTATCAGCATATTGTAGCAGAAAAGACGAACTAATAGATGTTGTTACTCAATAAAATAAAAATGCTGGACGCACTACAAATATGGAGATGAATCTTCCCATCAGCAATTAACTAGATTAACTCACTTGAGCCAACACTCTAATTGATGAGATACATGAAGGCTACCAAAAAAAAAAAAAAAAAGAGGAAACAAAAAATTAATTTGGATCACACACAGAAATACTGAGGCATAGTTGAGTGAATACAAAGCAAGCGTGTAACAGCCGTATTGCTCCATGCAGACACTAGCAATAATCAAAACCAGTGTCCTTCATGTACCACATTTTTGTAAGCCATCTACTTATCACAACTGTTCGCTGTGAAATGCTTTCTTCCAAATAGATACCCGCAAGAATACATATACTCTAACATGATGGTTGTGAATTTGACAGATAAAATTCCATTTCCAATCAAATAAAAGTTGATGAAAGAACGACAGAATATTACCAGCATGGTACCATAACCATCAGCAACCTTGCATCCAGACATAAGAAATGGAGCCCTTGAATTCTTGTGAACCTGCAGAACCATGACCAGTAAAGAAGAATATGAGCATGATAACTATCAACTAATGCAGTAGAGGGCCTACTGAGACTTACAATTTTGCTTTCCCCAGTCATACTCGACATATCAATGGCAAGGGAATGACCAGCGTTTAGGACTCCATCAGCAGGGACTTGTTAAAACATATGCAAGAAAAAGCAAAGAAGATTATAAGTAGCATGAATAGAAAAAGTAACTTCATTTTGAAGGGGAGAAAGAGGTCTTGTCATTCACCTGATCACCAATTTTGAGAGGCACAATATCACCAACAACTATATCAAAAATAGAAATCTTAATTCTCCTCCCACCCCTAACGACCTGTACAAAATTACTAGAAATCTGAGGAAAAATGCGAAAGGTGGGCAAAAGGAACCAATCCAGAGTGTATAACACCTACCTCCATGTGTATATTTTGCTTCTCCTCATTTAAATTTTGGAATTTGCGGGATTTTAGGTAATCAATTACAGCTGCAATATGGTAAAGTAAGTAGATGTGACACTGCCCAAGGGGATAAGTACAACACTAACAAAAGAAGTCTCAAAACATGAATTTCAGAGAGAATAAACAGACAGATACACAGCATCTATTCAATGGAACTTAAAATCTCAAGTCCACAAGCTCACTCAATGTCGTGATATGAATTGCTCTTAACACAAACTTCCACATAGAAGATCGCAATGCACAAGGTAAGAATGGAGAGTGACAATTGTGAACAATCAAAGATGAACAACAAAAGAGTTAACAGCATTAGCATACCTCCAATCTATTGCATTTATTGTCACATAAAACTTTAACATTGGTAAAGCAGTCAGAGTGATATGAGGTCAAGAACTTCCAACAAAAAAGCGTTATCATGAGCACGTGCAAAAATATCATACCAGTTGAAACAACAAAAAAATAGAAGGCTATAAATCCTACATACTTTAGTATACCTGTAACAACAATAACTTTAAGTACAGCCAAGGCAATGCTTCCCCCACCTTCCCAACCTTCTTTTATACCCTAAGGAAGAGAATAAATGTGAATTAGAACAAAAACAAAACAACAAAAAGATGTAAAACATGCATTTCTCTCTATATATTTACAAATTTGACTAACTACTTAAAATGATAAATGGAAATATAATCTTCATAGATCACATACACTTTGCATCATTGTTTACTGATATCACATTACAGATCATTGTTTAGCAACTTATTAGAGAACTAAAAACCTATATATATTAGAGTATATTTCCATGTATAATTCAATTGTATAGCTATTTTTTTTCTTTCCTTATATAGCTTGTAATATTATATAAATCCAATGTAATACACATGAGAGAATTATTCCGAAAAATATTGTCATGGTATCAGAGCCCTAACTTTTCCTCTCGTGCGTGTTCAGCCAGCAATCAGTTCTTGGTTCTTCATAGTTAGGCATCACGGTGGTTGCCTTTTGGGTTTTTGGCGGTCGATTGATTGTTCATACTCGATGCCACTTGGTTTTCTCACAATCGGCATCTTCAATGTGCCCCGGTGGTCACCTTCTCAGTTTGGAGCTATGCATGTTCTTCGATTTGGTACTCCTAGACTCTGCGTGTTTTTGTTTTGATCGACGCATCTGTAAGCTTAGTCAGATTTTCTTCTTCTTCCATCGTCTGCGCCTTCGCGTCACCTCCCGTGAGTTCACTTCGCCGACAATGGCTCTGTGATTTTGTTGGGCTGTTTATTTGTTTGGTAATTGCATAATTTGTTGGGCAATTGGGCTTGATTTTGTTTGGTCATTAGCTTGGTTATTGATTTAATTTCAAACCTAATTGTATATTGGTTGGACAAAGTCATTGGGCTTGGACTGAATTTATTTGGTGTGTTGTGATTAATTTATTTTGGTGGTATTATACACTGTTGTTTCATCATGTCAATTGAAAAGACCGACTCTGCTTGTATTCGTTTTACTGGGAAAAACTACTAGTCATGGGCATTTCATTTTTAGCTATTGATTGAAGGAAAAGGCGATTTGTGGGGACATATCAATGGAAGCCTTCTCCCTCCTGATCAAGAAAAGTATCTTGCTTGAAAAATCAAAGATTTTCGACTTATGGCCTGGACCATCAGATCGGTTGATGAGCAGATTATAACTAATCTCAGGCCTTACAAGTCAGCTTGTGCTATATGGAATTTCTTGAAGAAAGTCCATACTCAAAGTAATAATGCTCGACGACTTCAATTGGAGTTTGAATTAGCAAATTTCTCTCAGGAGTCACGTTCCATTGAAGAATATATTCACGGTTCTCTAATCTTTGGGTTGAGTACACAGACATTATCTATGCTTCGGTTTCACAAAACAGTTTGGAAGTCGTCCAAGCTGTACACGAAGTCACCAAGACGGATCAATTTCTTATGAAATTGCGAATTGAATTTGAATCCAACCAGTCCAACCTTATGAATCGCGAGTCTATTCTATCACTGGATGGTTGTTTGGGTGAATTACTGAGGGAGGAGCAGCATCTTATTCCTCGTACCTCTTTGGAACAGCAGCAAAATCATGTAGCACCGGCTCCTATTGCTTATGTGGCTCAAGGAAAATTCAAGCCTCAGGATAGATCTGGTGTACAGTGTTATAGCTGTAAGGGATTTGGTTACATGGCTCTTCAGTGTCCCAGAAAATTTTGTAATTATAGCAAGAAGTCTGGCCATTTTATTAAGGAGTGCTCAACTCATCCTCCATGCAAGATTGGAGCAAATTATATTGCTACTACCAATTTAGCCTCTAGTTCTGCTTCACCCCCTACTCCTGTTCAAGTTCCAGCGTTCCCCACCTCTTCCCAAACTCCCATAACTCTTAAGATGATTTAACAAATGGTTATCTGTGCTTAGGGTGTCTCAGGTAATACACCATCTACTCGTTCTTCTTGGTTATAAGACTCGGGTGCCTCTAACCATATGACTCATGATCCTCTGTTACTTACTTAGTAACCTTAGACCATATACCGAACCTCTTAATATATACACTGCTGATGGTAACACCCTTCCTATCTCCGCCGTGGAGGACATATCACCATATTTGTCTAACATTTTAGTCTCTCCTGGCTTATTAACTAATCTTTTATCTGTTAGGCAGCTTGTTGATAATAATTGTACTGTCTCTTTTTCTTCTTTTGGTTGTCATGTGCAGGATCAAGTGTCTGGAAGGACAATAGTTAAGAGGCCTAAGGAGGGACGTCTGTTTCGTAGTTCACCGAAGCCCGTTTCATTTACTTCTTTTGTTTGTAATTCTGCCACTTTACATCTTTTTAATTGGCATAATAAATTGGGACATCCCAATTCGAATGTGTTACAACACTTGTTAAACTCAGGTTTGCTTGGTAATAAAAATGCTACTTCAGTTATTTCTCTCGATTGTGCTTCATGTAAACTTGCTAAAAGCAAAATTTTACCATTCCCGTCTCATGGTTCTCGTGCGTTACATATTTTTGATATCATTCATAGTGATGTATGGGGTGTTGCACATGTGGTATCGCATACTCATTATAAATACTTTATTACTTTTATCGATGATCATAGTCGATTTACATGAGTTTATTTTCTTCGTGCAAAGAGTGAGCTCTTCTCTGCTTTTCAAGCTTTTCTTGCTCTCATTAGGAATCAATTTTCCTCCTCGATCAAAGTCTTAAGATCTGATTCAAGAGGTGAATATATGTCTAGTGCTTTTCAATCTTTCTTACAAACCAAAGGTATCATTTCTCAACGATTTTGCCCTTCTTTGCCTCAATAGAACGGCGTTGCAGAACACAAGGGCCATCACCTTTTTGATATGGTTCGAGCTCTTTTGATTGAGTCTTCTGTTCCCGCTTGTTTTTGGTGTGAAGCATTGTCTACCGCTGTGCATCTCATAAACCAATTACCTTCTCCCACTCTTAATAACGTATCTCCATTTTTTAAAATCTTTGGTCATCATCCACATATTCTCATCTTTGTCCATTTGGGTGTGTATGTTTTGTTCATTTGCAATCACATGAAAGGACATAACTTACCCTTCAATCGGTCAAGTGTGCCTTTCTGGGATATGGTGGGACTCAAAAAGAGTACGTCTATTATGATCCTACATCACAACGAATTCGAATCTCTCGTAATGTTATTTTTTTTGAAAAACAATCATTCTTCAGTTCAGAAACTATGGTTTCCCCTCCTGTGTACTCTGTCTTACCTGATTTCCCTTCAGAACCATCTCGGTACAAGTTGAATCTTGTTTACACTCGCAGGGATGCTACATCTATCACTAATCTAGATCTTCATTCTCAGATGACGGTCCTTCCAAGCCTTTCTGATCCTCCACCTATGACGCATGATCCTACACCTGATGATCTGTCGCCTCCTGTCCCTCTTCGTTGTACTTCTCATGTTTCTCACCCACCAGATAGGTATAGTTTTTCCTCCCATTGTTCTATGTCTATTACACTTGTTTCTGTTTCTATTCCTTCCTCCTATAGACAGGCTATGGAACATGAATGTTGGCAATAGGTGATGAAAGCAGAACTCGAGGCTCTTGAGGCTAACCAGACCTGGGATATTGTGTCATGTCCACAGACTGTGAAGCCCATTCGAAGTAAATGGGTATATTCCGTTAAACTTCGTTCTGATGGTTCTCTTGAACGCTATAAGGCTCGTTTAGTTGCTTTGGGTAATCGTCAAGAGTATGGAATCGATTGTGATGAGACATTTGCTCCAGTGGCAAAAATGACCACTATTCGTCTCTTGTTATCGCTTGCTGCTTCCTAGTCTTGGTCTTTACATCAAATGGATGTGAAGAATGCATTCCTACATGGAGACCTCAAGGAGGACATTTATATGAAACTTCCATCCCGTATGCCTCTTCCCTCAGTTGATTCTATATGTAAGTTAAAACAACCTTTGTATAGTCTTAAGCAGGCTCCTCAAGCTTGGTTTGACAAGTTTCATCGCACTCTTTTGGGTTTCTCGTTTACTCAAAGTTAGTATGACGCATCTCTATTTTTTCACAAGAGTAATGCTGACATTGTTTTTTTGTTGGTATATGTGGATGATATTATTATCTCTGGATTTGATCATTGTATTAACCAGAAACTTCAGCAACATCTTCACTTGATTTTTCACACGAAAGACCTAGGTCAACTTACTTTCTTAGCTTAGAGCTACATACTGCATAACATGGTATCTCCTTGAATCAACATAAGTATATTCAAGACTTGATTGAGTTGGCTGGTCTATTTGAAGCCTCCTCGGTTGATACGCTATTGGAGGTTAATGTTAAATATCGAAAAGACGAAGGAGATATTCTTCCAGATCCTACTCTTTATCGGAAGTTGGTAGGTAGTTTCATCTATCCCACTATCACACGTCGTGATATTTCCTTTGCAGTTCATACTGTAAGCAAGTTTATGGACGCTCCTCATCATCTTCATTCAGTAGCCGTCAATTGCATTATTCGTTATCTTATTGGAACTCCTCATCGTGGTCTCTTCTTCCCTCGAGGGTCATCTCTTGAGCTCACAGCTTATAGTGATGCTAACTGGGCCGTCTATCCCGATTCCCATCGACCTACTGTTGGGTGGTGTTTATTTTTTGATGATACTCTCATTTTGGAAATGTAAGAAACAAGATTATGTTTTTAAGTCCTTTACTGAGGCTGAATACCGAGCTATGTCCACTGCATGTTCTGAGGTTGTGTGGTTACGTGGTCTTCTTGCAGAACTTGGTGTCTCTCAATCACAGCCTACGCCTCTTCATGGTGACAACACTAGTGCTATTCAGATTGTGGCCAAACACTAGTGCCAATCCTGTGTACCATGAACATACCAAACATATAGAAGTGGACTGTCATTACATTCGAGACGCCTATGATTCCAAAGTCATATCTCTTCCCTCTGTCTCCACTTCACACCAGGTCGCAGATATATTCACCAAATCGTTGCCTCGCCTCCATCATAACTTTCTCGTGAACAAATTGATGCTTGTGGATTCCCCAACATCAATTTGAGGGGGGCTATTAGAGTATATTTCCATGTATAATTCAATTGTATAGCTATTTATTTTCTTTCCTTATATAGCTTGTAATATTATATAAATCCAATGTAATACACTTGGGGTGTCCAAGGCTATCGATTGTATTCTATAAATCGATGGAAAACTAAATAAATAATCTATTATGGTGTGTTTGATTGCGGACATGAAATTTACATAGAAAGAAAATAAATTCTAGGCAATTGAATTGCCTATAAATTATTTACATAGAAATTGTCAATTAAATGCGTTTGATTGATTTTATTTTCAACCTGAAAAATGTCATACTTGTCTATTTTTTATTGGTAGATAAATGGGAGAGAGAGTTAGTAAATGAGAGAGAAAGAAAGAGTGAATTGCTTGGAACATAAAAGCTTCTCCTCGTCTTCAAGGAAAATATGGTCAAGTGACTAAAAGTAGGAAAATATTTTCCATGGAAAAAATATCAATCAAACAACACAAAAATAGAAATTTGGGTGGAAAATATTGACAATCAAACGTACTCTTAGAGAATATGTCATTATAGAATACTTCTCAAAAGGCAAGGAAAAAGGAAATCAAAAGATAATATATTTCATCGGACATTGTCTGGTTACAAAGTAAAGTAAAAAGATATGCATATTATTACTTTTCTTTTGAGACAATTTTTCGGCCTGGGTAATGAAAAAAATAATGAATAACGAACTAATCACTACTTCTTGATTCCAAACAATTTGTCAAAATTGAAAAATTAACAACACCATTTTAGATTGATTTAACCAAGTCTAATATTTAAATCAAGCATAGAAGATTTCACACACAAACGCACAAGTAGAATGGCATCTTCCGATCTGCAGTCACATTGCTTCTTTGCAAAAAATGTCCAGGTGAAAAACTAATGCTATCAAGAAAAGGCTCATAGTTGAAGAAGCAGAGACCAACAACTAGATACCGCACAGGTAGTGTCACAATGTCATCATAATGAACTTGGAGAAAAGGAAAGTATACTTCTCTAAGGTATGCAATCAAAATTTAAAAAACAGGCACTTGTAACCTGTTGACATTACCTTAGACTTTATGCCCAGTGCCAAAGAAGCAGCTGCAGTAGCCATCAAGATAATCAGAGATGTGTCTTGACAAGCCTCCCAGAGAAACCACTTTAGATAAAATGAAGAAAAAGAATATATATTCATGAGACAATGTTTACCTGCAAAGATATTATACAATTGCAGCGTAAAAACTTGGAATATTCAATACTTACCCAGAAACTACAACCTTTTTTTCGAGGATACGTGTTTGATCCAAAAGCTTGTTTTCTGTTTATGAGATCAGTCTCGTCTCCAGATACACCTTTTTCCAAATTTGATTTTACTTTATCAGCAACTCCTTTGACCTGATACCAAGGACAAAGGGAAAGAAAAAGAATTCAAGACAATCTAGAGCAACAATGACAAGAAAATTGCATTTGGGCCAAAAAAAAAAAAAAAAAAAAGGATAGTTAAAATGTGACAGCAGTGGACTTGCCCCTCCATGTTGCTCCAGCAAAGAAAGATTGTGCTCTCGGGACATTGAAACTAGCTCATCTAAGCTAACATCAAAATCGTCAACATGACCTTGATTTGAAGGCAGTTTTTTCGAGACTCCAGGCTCTAAAATGCAGAAATATAACTTCAGTACAAATAATCAACCAAAAAACCAATAACATTTGTTATCAGCTTATGTGAATCAAACATCAATTTAAGCATGAAGGAAAATGTCAAAACAATCAATAGTTTAGCTTCCTCTTGGAAAAATTTATATACATCATTTATATATGTCAAATTTCATTTTAAAACACGCATTCCATTTGACCCAAAAGTACTATCCACTTAGCCACCATTCATTTCTATCATTTATATATTAAACCGTTTATAAATTCTTCCCAAACGGAGGCTTAAACAAATGCGCAAACTTATAGGCTGTATATGAGTCAATAAATAAACTACCTGGAAGAAGAAAATGACGGCAGTAACTATGGAAAAAGCCATAGGCATTTTCTTCTCCTAGTTTAGAGTGATACAGCTTGCAGTTACAAGCTTAAACCCAAAATTTTACCATGAAGATGGTAATTTATCACCTAAGAACTTAATGCAAATGTTCATTAGGAGTACAGAGGCAAAAACATCTATTCTTTGATTATATGGAAGCCCTGCCACTTGGTGCTATCCACTGAAATTAACCTCTAGTCAATTAATTAAATACCACAGTACAAAGAACAAGAATTACCATTCACTCCTTCGCAAGCAGCTTGGAAAAGAACAGCAGCCTGTTGAAGCAATAATAGATTAATAATTAATGACAAACTCAATACACTTCACCTAAATAAGAAAGAAGTATGATTTACCCTAATGACTTGAGCATTCATTCGAATCTTAGCAATCATTTGCTTCCTCTCTTCTTCTTTTTTCAAGTCCAACGTATATCGAAATCGACGAGCAGGATTCAGCACAAGTGCAGCTTGCTAGGGAGGACAAAATTAAATTAGATCACGATTAAACCTCTCCTTAGATAACCATATACATAGACAAGCAATACAAGCGCATAATTATGTAGAATAAAGTATACTAGTAATGTAGTTTTACATGCATCTTAAAAGGACATAGATGGTATCAAGATTAAGCCTCCGTTTGATAGTTTTTTTCACCCCCCAAAAAATTGATTTTTTTAACCTCATTTTTGACTTTTTCACTCACAGGTGCCTCCACTTTTCTCCATAACGGTCAAAAAATTAATTTTCATAATCACTACCAAATGGGCCTAAATACATAATTAGTTACTTCCAAAGATAAATATCATGGACTTTACCCAAACACTAACAGTTCCCTCATTCAATCATTTCTCACAAGAACCACTCTTCCTCTGTCCCGTTTCCACTTTAGGGAGTGATTTTCCTATTAAAACCCTTTTTTATGGGGATTAAATTAGATATTTAGTAGATTTTTTAATAAAAGTTGATAAAATGTGTAGTTGAAAAGTTGTAAGATCCATGAAACATGTGGTTAAAATTAATTATTGACTTTGATTTAGTCATTGTTTGATGTAGATTAAAATCAGATTTTTAGTAGATTTTGATAAAAGTTAATGAAATGTAGAGGTGGACACGGGTCAGTTCGGTTCGGTTCTAAAGAGAACCAAACCGAACCACAATTTTCGGGTATCTAATAAATGGAACCTTCGGTCCAAATATAATTATGGAACCGTTCGGGTTCGGTTCGGTTCGGTTCGGTTCGGTTAGGTTCGGTTCCGTACTATAATTAAATTTTTTAATATTTATAACTACTTTATATAAATACAACTAATGACACATTCAATCTTGTTCAAATGATCGCTACGGTCAAAGTTTTGGTCGGCTGAGGTCAGAGCGTCGGCCGACGATTGTATAGGTTTTAGAATGTCAGCGAGGCTGCGAGAGTGAGTGGGAGAGTCGAGACAGCGTTATGCATTTTAGTATAGATGTATAGGGAAAAACCTCTACTCTCATTTGAGGATCGATTACCACAGTTCTCAGGTTGTGAAACTTCCTGGCTTTATTGGTAGGGGGGATGGTCCGTTGATTTGAGTGTTATTTAGTGGGTTGGATCTTGTTGGGCTAAGAAATGAAATCATAAAAGGGGAAATTAGGCCCAATACTCTAAAAATTCAACTAATTTGATTAATACCCTGTTAACAAATAAATCATTTAAGCACGTACTTAATAGTTAATACGTTCTAAAACAACCCAAACCCCCAAAACCCAAATCAGTCCTGATTCCAAAATCACCCTCAGAATGAAATTCCGTCACTCAATATCAATATAGATTGCTCATTTTCAGGTTGCTATATTGCAATTAATGTCACTGAAAACTTCACTTAGGGCAAGAACTTTGGAATATCTAGTGGTATCTTTGAATTAGCGATGGATAATGCAAGTCTTGGGAATGGTTCTTCCGTGATTATTGCGGGGTGCAAAGTTTCAGAATGATTGAAGGATTATGAGTGTAAAGCTTCAGAATGATCCTAATTCGATTGTGCATCTGAGTGGAGTCGCGGCAATGATTGCATTGGCTGTGAGGATCACTAAAAATGGTTATGTTCATTTAGGTAATCCGAGCTTTGGAGGTCAGTTGGGATCTGGTGGAATATGAAATATGTTTATAATCCTGTATTTTATGTTGAGCTGCAAGTACTGTATATAGAAAAATCAGAATAATAATTTTACTACAGAAGAGAAGTGCAATGTTATAACCTTCTTGACTTGTAGAAGAACCGTAATAAGGTTGGGATTTGTGCTGTCCAAAATCTAGCCTATTGATTAGACTAATTAGAGTAAATAAATTTGAGTGTGTTACAAAAAGCTTTTTGTATGTATGCGCCACTATAAACTCTGGCGCTACTTTATAACTTTGATTGCTTTGTAAAAGCTTTTGGTTCAAACATAGTGCATATACCCCTATGGGGAGCTCTTTTGGATGCATATAGCACCATGTTTTGTCATCTCAATATTCATTCATTTCATTATTAATTCAAAAGTGGTTGTGGAAGGAGGGTGGGGAAGAGGAATAAAATGAGAAGACGAGGAAAATGTATGTCTACAGTGTTTGTGTCACTTTTAGAGTGAAAAACATAGGTTTTGATCGATACTTTGTCACTTTTTTTTAAGTTTTCGTAACTTTTTGAATGTTTGCCACAGTTTTGACTAGTGCTTGCCATTTTTTGTCACTTTTATTGTTTTTTACTTTTTAAAGATTTCTGTCACTTTTTGTGTAACAAATATAGGTTTTGATTGGTATTTTGTCACTTCTTTGTGTATATGTCACTTTTTCGATTGTTTGGAAACTTAAAACTTTTTTATTGTTTGTTAATTTTTTAAAATTTTGTCACTTTTTTTGTGTGACAAACATAGGTTTTTATTGGTGTTGTCACTTTTTTGACTAATGTTTGTCACTTTTTTATTATTTTTTACTTTTTTTAAACTTTTTTGAGTGACATAAGTTTCAATTGGAGTTTTGTCAATTTTTTAGTGTTTGTCTTTGCTTTTTTTAAAAAAAAAATTATCACTTTTTTTTTAGTGTTGGTCTTTTTGTTTTTCAAATTTTCGGTCATTTTTAAAAATTTTTTGTCACTTTTTATTGTTTTTTTTTTATCTTTTTAAAATTTCTATCATGTTTTTTTAATGACAAACATCACTTTTTAATAAATATGACACTTAACTATATAAAGTATTATAAGGTCTGAATTAATATTTATATTTAAACTTTCACAAACACGCATTTATGCATCAATTTAATTAATCCAATATAATTCACTATTTAATTGATCCAAAAAAAATAAAATAAAAAATCAAATGAATTACATTGTGGCTTTCTTAAAAAAGTGAGAATGTTACTTTTCTCATTTTCATATTTAAATTATTCACAAACACCTTGCATAGTTCATTTGAATTGATTCAAAGTTGAATTTTCATATATACAGAATCAATTCAATATATACAAATTTGAATTTCAATATATAATAACTCAAAAAAAATTGAAGTGAAATAAAATACGAATTATTATCAATACAAACAAGTACACATTATCAAAATTAAAGTGTAATAGAATTATGTGGTTTTGTAAGGATGGAGTAGGAGATGTATTAGGACGTAAAATGGAGGGTAGTGTTATTGGTATAAAGAAAAATAAAAGCTGATATATGTTGACACAAATTGATCGTATTTTTTTACTTAACAGCAACTTTTAATATGATTTTTCTAAATGCTCTCAGTTTTATGGGCACTTATGTAATTACCCCTTCATAAAATGGATAATTGGGTAAAAATTAAAAAATTAGAAATGAAACAAATTATTGGGCCAAAAATTTGGATTTAGAAATTGTTAATTTGTTTAGAAAATTTAAAATTAAAATAATTTGATTTATTCAATATAAAAAAAAATTAAAAGATTCGATTCTTATTCGGTTCTTCGGTTCTTAATTTAGAATCGAGAACCGAATCGTACCGTACCAGTCATTCACACTTCATACGGCAACTAATATTATTCTGAAAATAATTCCGTTACACTGATTACATTCTATGTACACGGACTCCTTTTTTTTCTAAAGCGAACTCCGTAGTCACCCTTTTTTTATTATTAACTACACAAACTCCTTAAAGAACAAGAACATAAAAAATAGAGTGAAGCTGATACCCTTCCCAGCCTGTTCTAATTATAATTGGTAGAGAACTCATAAAAGAAATGTAAGGAAAAAACAGCACATGAAAATTCAATATCACAAGATCAATCAAAAATCAGTGAAAAAAGAAAAGCAAATTAATAATGCAAATAGACATACTCTCCATCTCCGCAATCGATCCAACGGAGCATTTTTAGTTCGAACAATATCGAATGGTCCTGAACCTTCGTCTTCCTCCTCATCAATCTCTCGGCTACTGGTACCAGCCTCAAGGTCGTTCTTGTAGCGTCTATACGGAGAGGTCTTGAATTCCTCTCCAATTCCTTTGCTCATTCTGAAGTCGCGAACTAGAGTTTCAGTTCATTTTTTAACCACTTTTTTAGGTTATCTGCACTCAATTACTATGGAATACAGATCGAACTGACAAAAAAATGGTAAAGTACAAACTACGCGAAAAGATTCACGGAGTTTAACAAGGTGCATTTATAATGAATTTAGAGATGAGATAGAAAAACCTGCAAGGGTCAGAGAACGCCGAACGCTCCTTCGCCTCCACTACACTAAGAATCTACCAGGACGTTTCCTTTTTGAGAGATGCTGGACTGAAAAAGATGCTGGAAGGAAAAAGATACTTGGATGAGGCCGCCCCGAAAAATATACTAGGACACGGCCACCGAGGTATCTTTTCGCTCCTTTTTATGTCATGGTTTGAAAAATTGTTTCCTTCCTTTTCCTTTAGTAACGGAGCTATGCTATACTTGACAAAGGTGGGGTACAAAATTGGTTCATAAAATAACATTCACACCAATAATTTTAAAAATATATTTTTAAATCATTTCAAATCAATGGCCTATATTTTGCTAACATACTTTGTAATCCAACTTTTGTAACCTAACTTTGTACAAGTAGCTTTATTGTTAGGGACGTTATGCTGATTACCCAAATTAAAATGTCTAAACTGTCCTTTCTATGTTGTTAATCTATCTCAAATACCCTTAACATAAATGACCATAATATCCTTTCTTCAAACTTTCAAAAAAAAGTAATAAACGAATAATGACTGCAACCTGAAAAAGACGGCAATCGTTTTTCATTTCTCAATGGTTCTTGACCGCTATTTGCAAAGCCTTTATAAAAAAATAATAATAAAAATGACTCCGATCATTTTAAATTACTTCAATTATTTTATGCAAAAATGATTGAAATTGTTTAAAATGATCGGAGTAATTTTCTATTTATCACTCTCGAATTTGGTTGACATCTTTTCTTTAATTATAAATATTAAATTATCTAAAATCAATTGTAAGTTATAAACTTAAAAATTGCATATGGTATACTTGAAAAGTATATAATGGAACATGATGAATAGTGTCTTCCTATACGTTTTCGAACAAAATAGGTTGAAAACGAACACAATATAAAAGGTTAGAAGTTTGATTGTCATCTCGTCTTTCATTATACATGATGGTTTAATGTATCGAATTTATTGTAAATCATATAATTAGAAATCAAATTGTTCTACTTGAACATTATGTAGTGGAGCATAATTATTAAGGTCATCTTCTAATATGATTTTAAATGAAATAGGTTGAAATAAAATACTGTTTAAAAGGTTGAAGATCAATTGGCATCTTGTTAGTTATAATACATGATTATTAAATTTATCGAAATCAATTGTAAGTTGTATACTTAAAAATAAAATATAGTAAATCTGAACATTGTATAATGAAGCATTATGAATTGTATATAATGAAAATTTGCCTTCCTATATATTTTCAAATGAAATAGGTTGAAACCAAACATAGTCTAAAATGTTAGAAGTTTGATTGGCATCCATCTTTCATTATACGTGATGGTTTAACGTAACAATATCAATTTTAAGTCGTATATTTAAACATTGAATACTGTATACTTAAACGTGTAGTAAAGCACGATGAATTATATATAATGAAATTTGTTTTTCTATACGTTTTTAAATGAAAAAGGTTAAAATCAAGCATGATCTAAAATGCTTGAAGTTCAATTGACATCTCGGTTTTCATCACATATGATGCTTTAACTTAATGAAATCAATTGTAAGTCATATACTTAAAAATTGAATACAATATACTTGAACATATGTATAGAAGCACGTTGCGTTATATATATAACGAAGTTCATCGTCCTAGACATTTCCAAATGAAATAGACTAAATCATACAACGTCTAAAATGTTAGAAGTTTGATTGATATCTCGGCCTTCATTATACATGATAATTTAGCCTATTGCAATCAATTGAAGCTGTAAAACACGATGAATTGTATATAATAAAGTTCGTCTTCCTATATGTTTTTAAACAAAATAGGTTGAGATCAAGAATGATAAAAAAATGTTAGAAGTTTAATTGACATTTTATTTTTCGTTACACATGATGATCTAACTTAACGACTTAAGTAGTATACTTAAAAACTAAATCCGGTATACTTAAGTATTGTATAGTAAAGCACGATGAATTGTATATAACGAAGTTTATAGTTCTATATTTCTATAAACGAAATAAGTTGTAATCAAACACGGTATAAAACGCAAAAGTTTGATTGACATCTACTCTTTCATTATTCATGATGGCTAACTTATCATAATCAACTGTAAGTTGTTTACTAACAAACCAATTATGATATACTTGAACAACGTGTAGTGGATCATGATAAATTGTAAATAATGAAATTCATCTTCATATACATATTTAAACAAAATACATTGAATGCTAAAGAAATAGCTACCAAATTTAATTACAAATTCATCGAAAAAACACTACAAGTCTTTCAAAACGACTCCAATCTTTTTAAACGACTGCGGTCATTTTAAATTACTCTAGTCATTTTATTTTAAAAAAGGATTACAGTCTTTTAAATGACTAGAGTTGTTTTTCTTCTTCCGTAGTTATTGGCCGTTGAAGAATTGTGTTGGCAAACTCAGGCTTCTCATTGTTGTGGGCAATCTTCAATCAATATTCTATTGATCTTCCATTGCTGCAATCGGTGTCGATCCATTCATGAGATCACAGTGTGGTCAATCGTGAGTATAGGCCCTATAACCTGGGTTAATAGTATTTGTGTTGGGCCTCTTTTATCGGGCTTCCTTTACTGCGTGGTAATTATTTGTGGTTGGGTTCTCTTTATTGGATCTATTAGAGTAGCTATTATCTCAATTGGGCTTTTGAGCTATATTTTTAGTTTCTTTTACAATGTCTACAAATAATTCAGATTTCTTTTGTGTAACATTTACGGGTAAAAATTACTCTGCCTGGAATTCCAATTTTGACTTTTTGTCACTGGGAAGAAATTATGGGGTCATATAGATGGAACTTATTCAGCTCCCACGGATCCTAAAGAACTGGAAAATGGAAGATTAAAGATGCTCGATTTGTGACTTGAATTTTTTGGCTCTATTGACCCTCTGATTTTCCTGAATCTTAGGCCATCTAAGAATGCTAAGAGTATGTGGGAATATTTGAATAAGGTCTATCATTAGGATAATACAGCCCAAGGATTTCAGTTGGAGTATGACATCGCTAGTTATGCTCAAGGCGATCTCTCCATTCAGGAATATTTTTCTGAATTTCAGAATTTGAGGATGGAGTATGTTGATATAATCTATACAAAGATACCAGATGGTTCGCTAGCTGCAATCGAAGAAGTTCATCAGCAAAGTAAGAGAGATCAATTTTTTATGAAGCCGCGACCTGAATTCAAAGCTGCTCGATCTAATCTAATAATTGCAGCCCATCCCCCTCTTTGGATGTGTACTTCGGTGAGTTACTTAGAGAAGAGAAACATCTTGCTACACAGGCTATTTACCAGCAAGACAAACTACCAACTAATGCGTTTGCCTATGCGGCTTAAGGGAAAGGCAAGGGTAGAGATATGCAGAAAGTTTTATGCTTTAGCTGCAAAGATTATGGACATATTGCTGCCCATTGTGCAAAGAAGTATTGCAACTACTGTAAGAAGTCGGGGCATACTATCAAAGAATGTCCTACTCGTCCTCAAAATCGTCAGGCTAATGCTTATCAGGCTATAGTTGGTCTTTCCTCTTCCACTGGTTGTAATTCAATCGTTCTTACTTCTGAGATGGTCCAGCAGATGATTATTTCAGCTTTTTCAACCTTGGGACTTCAAGGTAATAGTTCCCCACCATCATCATCATGGCTTGTAGATTTCGGTGCATCTAATCATATGACTAGTTCTTCTGATACTCTTCGAAATATTCGGACATATAAAGAATCCTCATATATTCAGATTGCTAATGGCAATTAGTTACCTATTCATGCTGTTGGAGATGTTAATTCCTCCGTTTTGGATGTTTTCGTATCCCGTGCACTTTCCACTAATCTTATATTTGTAGGCCAGTTGGTCAATAATAACTATGATATTCATTTTTCTCGTGATGTCTGTCTTATGTAGGATCAAGTTTCGAGGAAGATACTCATGAAGGGGCCTAAAGTTGGTTGATTATTTTCCCTACATTTTCCTATTCCTCCAATTATATCTATGGCTTGTACTAACGTTAACAATAAAAGTAAAGTTTGGCATAAACAGTTGGATTATCCTAACTCTGTTGTTTTATCTCATCTAATAAATTCTGGTTCGTTAGGCAATAAAGAGCAATTTTCATCTCATATTTCTCTTGATTGTTCCACATGCAAATTAGGTAAAAGTAAGTCTCTTCCCTTCTCCTCCCATGTTAGTTGAGCTAAAAGAAATTTTGATTTGATTAATAGCAATGTGTGGGGTATATTTCTTGTTATATCTTATGTGCATTATAAATACTTTGTTACATTCATTGATGATAACAGCAAGTGTACCTGGATATATTTTCTACGTTCCGAACTTGAAGTATTCCCTGTCTTTCAAAAATTTGTCGCTTATGTTGGAAATCAATTCTCTACTAGCATTAAAATATTAAGATCTAATTTAGAAGGTGAATATATATCTCATAACTTTCATGATTTTCTTCACCAAAAAGGCATTGTCTCCCAAACGTTCCTGTCCCTATACACCTTAGCAAAATAGTGTTGCCAAATGTAAGAATAGTCATCTATTAGATGTTGTTCGGACATTATTGCTTGAATTTTCTATTCCACCTAAATTTTGGGTCGAACCGTCGAACTTTATCTACGGCGGTCTATTTAATCAATCGATTGCCGTTTAGTGTTTTGAAATTTGAGACTCTCTATTATCACCTATATCATCAGCATCCCAACTATCTTGACATGCATATATTTGATTGTGTTTGTTTTGTCCATTTACCTCTTCATGAACGAAACAAACTTTCTGCTCAATCCGTTAAGTGTGCATATATGGGTTATAGTACTTCTCGCA